TTTATCTATTTATATATCTTTCTATCTATCAATTTTGTATCTAATGTGTCTATCTGGCTATCTACATATAATATATCTATATATGAAGAAATATCAACAATTCTATTAAAAAATTTGTTAAGTATATATGTAATGTATAGATATCGATTTTATTCTCTAAAACAATTTTTTGTTTCAAAATTCTACCTTTTTCCAAAGTGTTTTAAAATTCCCCGGGCAACGTCGGTCACTTCAGCTAGTTTTTATGTTACTTTTCGACTTTTTAACCTTGTTAAAATATTTTAAAAAAGGTAAATTCGTAAATCTTCAAGCAATAAAATAATTAAACATTTCAGATGAAGTATTTATTTGAATAAAAAAATCTAAACTTTTACGCAAAAAATCAACAAAAATAGCATTTTGTTTTTCAAGTAATGCCAAATATAAAGCTTGTAAGAAAAAACCTATAGGCTAAATAAAGAAAAAATATTTTTTTTATTTTTATTTTTTATTTCTATCAAAGATTAAAATTAGTTTAAAGGTTTAAAATTTTATATTATTTTTAAATCATCTAAAATCATCTAAAAGATATGTAATTCTTTCTTTCTATAATCACTTTTGCCATTGGCGGAAAGGTTGCTAGGTTGTTTCTGCATAATTCTTAGTCAAGAATAATATTTCTAAAAATTTTTTTTTCATTGATATACTTTTGCCCTATTGTCATTAAATTAATTTATGCAGAAATTTAATCATTACATTTATACTTCTACATTCTCGTTTTCTTATTTGTCTAATCCGCGGAGAACATTTTAAAAATACGCAAAATTCACTGTATAAGTGTAACGCCCCTCTCTTTACAGAGAAAATGGATTCCTAGCTTGGGAATCCAGCTTTGGCCGGAAACTAATTTTTTCATATAAAAAGGTAACCTACTAAACTTGGAGTTCTTAAACCAAGTTAAAAACATTCCCGTGGTTCTCCCAAGTTCCCCAATTAAAACTTGATTCAAATATTTAAAAAATGTATAGGAAATAGATTACAATTCTATACATATATTATTTGAGCGGTAACATAATTCTAATATAGGCGAACAAGCACTTTAAAGTTTAGAAGAAATATTTTCGGTGCCTATATGTACAGACGACGTGAATCTATTAAAATATGACGAATCCACAATTAAACTAAGTTTGAATATAGTGCTATAATGGCTTATTGGGGGGGGGGGGGACAGGTATACAGTTGCAGGGAATAAGGAATCTAATGAATTAGACATTATAAATTTCGTACAGTCGTCTTAGTATACTCATTTACTGTGGGTAACCCTGTTTAAATATATATATGTACATTCCAGATTAAAATAGAAATGACAAATTAGTATTTACGATGTGATAAGAGGAAATTATGTTGTAAATGTTTAATTCCTTGAATCCGTCAGTGGGTATATAGGAACTCCTTGGTGTAGTTCTTTAAAACAAAATGTCTCCTCTAGAAATTGTTTTCTCAATTCTTTTAGTTTCCGGGGTAGCTCATTCACAGAATATTAGCTTTACTCTAAGTAATCATATTTAAAATTAAAGATATTTTTTTTCTGTGACCGAAGTTAACGAAATAGAGAGGCCACTGGACTACCTAATAAAGATTTAAATTCTGAACTAACCTCACGAGTCTTTAGTTTTGAATCAGTGATTCATGATTTAAACCGGCGGTAGGTAGAGTTCAACGACCTAGCTCAATTTCATTAAATTTGGTCCCAGGAAATGTTTCAAGTTTAAAATATTTGTTTTTAAACAGAGTAATAGTTTGAAATTCACCATTTTAAAACATGAAAATCAACAAAATCTCAATTGTTATCATCTTCCCTGTATTTGTAATTCATATATTCCCTATCTTCCCTGTCTCCCCTGTATTTCCTGTATTTCATATATTCCCTGTATTCCCTGTATTCACTGCATTCCTTGCATTCCCTTTATTTCCTGCATTTCCAGTATTCCCTGTATTCCCTGTATTCCCTGTATTCCCCTGTATTTCCTGTATCCCCTGTGTTCTCTGTATTCTCTGTATTATTTGTATTCATTGTATTATTTGTATTCATTGTATTCCATGTATTCCCTGTATGCAATGTAATTAATAATTGGTCAAAAATCTAGTTTCTAAAATAAAAATGCTCGAGTATCATAAGAATCATGTATTTTGACACACATACCATTAAGAACTATTTACACAGGGAATAAAGGGAATTCAACAAGAAATACAGGGAATTTAGGGAATAAGCATGCTTTGTATTCCATGTATTCCCTTTAATATATAATTGGACAAAAATCTGTTTCTAAAATAAAAATGCTGGAGTATTTTAAGAACCATATTATTTTGACACACATACCAGTAAGAACTATCTACTTCTACACACTTCACTTAAGAACCATTAATTTATACACACCTACAAGTGTTTTATAAACTGCCTGTCTGTCTGTACACACGTCATTAAGCTGAAAATGAATACCAGTAAGAACTATTTATTCTACACACTTTACACTTAGGAACTGTTTATTTATACACACCTACAAGTGAACTGCATGTCTGTACACACCTCATTAAGAACTGTTTAGCTGAAAATGAATACCAGTGAGAACTATTTAATTCTACCCACTTTACACTTAAGAACTGTTTATTTATACACACCTATAAAGTACAAAAGCTCCATGGAATACTGGTAAAGCAGAGAATACAGGGAATACAAGGAATACAAGGAATACTCCTTGTATACCATTTATTCACGGCAGTCCCTGTATTCCCTGTACCCTCTATAGTTCTTGTTTATCTATATTACTAGTATTCCCTGTATTCCCTACATGTATTCCCTGTATTCCTTGTACTCCCTTTATTCCCTGTATTACCTGTATTCCCTGTATTCCCTCCATATTTTCCTTGTATTACCTGTATTCCCTGTATTCCCTCCATATTTTTCTTGTATTCCGTGTATTCCCTAAATATCTTGTATTTCCTGTATTCCCTGCATTCCCTGCATTCCCTGTATTCCCTGTATGCCATGTATTCTCTGAATGTATTCCCTGTACTCTCTGTATTCCCCGTATTTCCTATTTTTTGTATTTCATGTATTCCTTATATTACTTGTATTCCCTGTAATCCTTGTATTCTCTGGATGCTTTCCTTGCATTCGGCCTGTATTACCTGTATGCCATGTATTCTCTGAATGTATTCCCTGTATTCTCTGATTTCCCCGTATTTCCTATTTCCCTCCCTGTATTCCCTGTATTCTAGGTCTTCCAAGTATTCCCTGTATTCCCTGCATTACTTGTACTACCTGTGTTTCCTGTATTTCCTCCATGTTTTCCCTGTATTCCCTGTATTTCCTATATTCCCTGTATTCCTTATATTCCCTATATTCCCTGTATTTACTGCATTCACTGTATCCACTGTCTGTAATCCTTGTATTCCCTGTATTTCTTGTTTAATCTGTATTCCCTCTATTTCCAGTATTCCCTGTATTCCCTATTTCCCTGTGTTTCCTGTATTACATGCATTCCCTGTATTCCTTGTATTCCTCGTATTCCATGCATTCCTTGTATTCCCTGTATTCCCTTTATTCTCTGTATTTCCTGTATTTCCTGTATTCCTTGTATTACCTGTAATCCCTGTATTCCCTGTATTCCTTGTATTACCTGTAATCCCTGTATTCCCTGTATTCCCTGTTTTACCTCTATTCCCTGTATTCCCTGTAATCCCTTTATTCCCTGTATTTCCTGTATTCTCTGTATTCCCTGTGTTCCTTGTTATTTCTGTAAATCCTGTCTCCTGTAATTTCCATATTTATCCTCTTTATATCACAAAAATGACTAAGACAAACACTTTATTATGAAGTGCTAAATACACCCCTTCTGCATACGTGACATTTTTTACCCACATATGTTAAGCACCGCTTCTTAGGTGCGTGTGAGTGATTACTCGTACACATGCACCTAAGAACCGTCATCTTAGCTGCGTGTGACTGTGTACTCCATTTTAAAGATAAGCACTCTGCTTAGCTTGAAAGTGAGTAATTTAAAGGTAGCGTTTAAAGGTAGTGCAGAGAATACGGTTAAGAACCAAATTTTTGAGCAAATGTATAGGCTATGAGCCAAAGACATACACACCATGTCACACCGGCGGTGTGTCCTAGGCAGTTTGCTCTTTCTCTTTTAACCAGTATGTCCAAAGATCCTAATATTAAGAATCTTGAAATGAATTTCAGCTTTCCTAGAGGGGAGGGGTTCATAAGGAAAAATGCCTTTTAATCTTCAAAAGTTATAGGCCTGATGTTTAAAAATGTACTCCGTCTCTTTTTAAAGATTTGCAATTGGTTTTCACCCACGAAATGTCGTCTTATTGTACCGTAAACACGAGGACCATAAATGGGGATTTCGTCAAGGAAACAATTTGCAAAAAATGCCGTTTTAACATTTAAATGTACTCGAAATGTACCATGTGGTCCCTTTTCCTTTAAGATTTTCAAAATAAATAAATAATCATTTTTTTCAAAAGTTTGTTTAAAAATTCATTTGTTAAAGGGAGTGACCGGCAATGTAGGGTACTTTTGTAGTATTTATTTGAGACATATTAAACGTTTAAATTATGTATAATTACCGAGATTGAGCGCAAAGTCGACGTTCAAAATCATCCATTTAGGTTGTTACGTTTTAAGAATCAATTTTTTTGAAATTATTAAATAACGACGACAAAAATGTAGTAAACTCATTAGATTTTTAGCTGAACATATTTCTCAAAAGAAATTTGTCAATAAGTCAATTAATTACTTTTCATCAATATGTTGAATTTCTTATTCTGTATGAATTTGTTTGCAGTTTTTTACAAATTCTTAAAATGTCGTCTTTACAATAGAAATTCCGGAAAATCTGTAGAAAATGTTTGTGAACAATGAAAAATTATAGAAACTCATAACTGAATAAGACTACTTTTTTTCGAGTTAATTTTTATTTTCTTAATCTGTTCCTAAACAACTAATTAGTTTACAGAAGAAGTTTTGTTACATTTTTTGTCGTTGTTATTTAATAATTTTAAAAAATCGATTTTCAAAACGTAACCACCCAAATGGATGAATTTGAAAGTCGACTTTGCGCTCAAACTCAGTAATAATACATCATGAAAAGTTTTATATGTCTCAAATGAATCCTAAAAAAGTTCTCCACAATATATACTAGTACATTTTCAGTTGAACTGCAATACATTGCCGGTCACTCCCTTTAACGGTCTATCTCTACTGCTTGTCCTACTAATAACATTTTTTTAGTATAAAATAAACGACCTGAAATGGCCACCAGTTATTATTGCAATATTTTCAAATATAAATTTCAAATTTTTGAAATCTATCGGCCCCACAAAAAATCCAAGAGACATTTTTCCCGTCGAAATTAACAATGAAGAAAATCTAAATTATGATGATATCGGTATTTCCAAAGCAATCCTAAAATGTCACTAATTTCGGACTGACCAATTCAGAGATATAAATTAAAAGTTACCCAAGACTTCAAAAAATTGGATCCGCTGAATTGTCCATGGTCGATTGTCATTTATACGGCATCAGTTGATCTTCGGGCATGCAATTCTATACATGAATGGTTTTTTAAAGGGTTTTAAAAACTAGGCTTTAAGGGCGCTTTGCGCCCATCTTCTATTTCAATTGCAAACATTTTCTCTTTAAATTCCTGGCAAGACTTTGACACCATATCGTGGTAGCTCTTCTAGCTATTGCCCAAGTAGATGAACAGCAAATTGATATGATTGCATATTAAAGATTCAAACCTCTTTTTTCTCTATAGCTCTTATATAAGGAAAGGGTTTTAATGAAAAAATGTAAAAGATTTAAATCTATCTTTATAACAAATTGTTACGCGACTACGCGTTTTTCCTAAAGACCTTATGAAAGCTTTATAAGTACCGTGGGGTATATCTCAGGATTGGATTGTAAGACTTCATCTTCCGACTACTCTCCATAATGAAAGACAAGCTGGATAAGTTCCGATTCTTTATTCACAAAGACTTCAATCTAGTAAATAATAAAACTAGATAGACTACAAAAAAAAGCTTTTGAATTAACAAACATTACGATACAACTGAACCAATTCAAGCATTAAAAAACTGTAGGGCGGAACTAACAAAGGTACATTATAAATCATAAAATCCATGGGAACACAAATCATAAAGGTATTTATAAATATAAAAAGGAATCTTACTGCAGTGATCCCAGAATTATAAGCACAGTTTACATTATCAACACAGTTAAACGGTTTATAACTAAGTAATACAAATAGAATCTGTACGCTCCGACGTAGAAATCTTGCGCATGCGTAGGAAGTTCGTATACAGCTTCTCAAACTAGTTTTCCGACCTCTTTTCTGTACAGATTTACAGGGTGAACTCAGAATTTCACAGGGGCGTCATATAGACTTTACTTACGCAGCATGGCTCGCGTAACACAAATTAAATTTGACGCACGGATCAGAAAAAATGAAAGAAACCTTCCAAATTATTGATTATAGAAGTTTTAAAGGTATTGTTGTTTCTTTCGCAGTTGGTTCCAAGAAAGAAATGATGAAAAAGCGATTTTTACGATTTTATATTCCTTACATAGAAAAGCGCCGAATGTAAGTCTTTAATTTCAGAATTTCTTGACAATGGGTTGGTGGCCGTGGAACTGGAAGGAGGAGGACTCGGAGGCTTTGAAGATGGAAAAATTCAAATATCAAATAGAAAAAGACGCTCGAGAGAGAACTGACAAGAAGGAAAAAGAGGAACGGGAGAGAATCGAGAAAGAAAAGAGAGAAGTGGAGATAAACTATAAACTCAAATTGAAAGAGTTGACTGAAAATCTGGAACTGAAATACAGAGTTAAACAACTGGAACTTGAAGACCAAAAGAGTCAACGGGTTGAAGGCAAGCAATTGGAAATGGAAAGACGCAAACATGAACAAGAGTTTGAATTGAAAAAATTAAAGCTGGATAATGAGTATAAGTTGGAAATCGCTAGGATAGAAGCCAGTACCCGATCAAACCAAAACAAGATGTGGCTCGGAAATGTCTTTGCTGTGGTTCTGTGCTTCATAGCTGTCCTTGTCACTGTCACATACTTTATGAAGGATACAGAAGTTGTGGTGAGTTATTAAAAGTAATACGAGTTTAAAACTTTAAATTATGGATTTAAACGTAATTTGACTCAACATTTTATTTTAATGGGGGGTATGCTCGATTCACAGCTGCATATTTTATCTAAAATTTACAGATTACATTTTGTGGTTTCTCTGTCGAAGTGCATCAAAGACAAAGATCGTATTTTATAGAACTCAATACTATTTAAGAATGAAAAATGATGATATCTTCCCCATTATTGCTCAGAAAGGGTACATATAAAGATCGGGTATGAAACTCTTTGAATTAAAGGTCTTTGTTAAAGTTTTTAGAATTGCTCACTATCTACTGTGTTTAAAATGTATAATATCAATTAAATCTTTTTTATACGGAGTTTATCATGTAGTTCTTTATGCTCAAGTGGATAAAAAGCAAATTGAACATTAAAGATTCAAACCTTTTTTATTCTCAAAAGCTCTTCAGGAAAAAGGGGTTATAATGAAAAAGTCTACAAGATTTAAATCAATCTTGATAACAAATTCAATAAAAATCAGTTGAGGAAATCTTCCAAATTATTGATTAAATGGAGGTTTAAAAAGTAAAAAATAGATGGTCATTTAAAACTACATTTATGATGCCTTTTCGTAAAATTGTTCTATATTAGGTTGTTATCGAGGATGGTAGCAGGGCCAAGGAATTTCTTTCGAAGTTAGTGCCAAGTTCTTCGGTAGCAAAATACGCAAACCAGAAGTCAGATGTGTGTGAAATTTAATGACCTATTTTCGTAATTTGTTCAAGGTTTATTTACTTATTCAACTTCTTATCATTTTTATTCTTCATATGTCAGAGAAAATGTTCTCAATTGAATCAATGAAGAATTTGTTTAAACAATTTGTTCTTTGAAATTTCGTCAAACAAATCGTTCGTTCAGTTCGTTTGTTAAAGTTGTTCAGATCAAATAGTTTGTTCTTTTTCTTCTTCAAAAGTATGCTAAAAATGTTTGTTCGTCAACAGTCTGGCTGACCCAAAAAATGAAAACGAGCGTAAACTATTTAAAATACAAACATTTTTATTTTCTCTGAATGATCAAAACCATAATTCACGAAAAATTTCTTACCTCTGAAAAAAATTCGTCCGTTCACAAAAAGTTTGAAAAGCCTATCTCTTTTCAACTTTAACTTCCATTATTTTCGTATTTCAGAGAAAATGGGCCTGTTGGGCCTGTTGCGCCTGTTATTAAGCTGCTTCTATGGAAATGCTACTGATATAGAAGATGGAAACATTCCTTCATTAACAAATGAAACAGAAAAGAAAAAATATGAATTAAAAGTTGTTCAAAATACTCCAAGCTTTACAGACAACAGAGTAAAGTGAGAATAAAACATAAACATTCATCTGAGAATTCTGCTATTTTTTCCCGTTTCTTTTTTATAATATATATTATTTATATTACTGCTTAAAAAGCGGATAAATAATCCGTCAGATTATTACTACTTTTATCATTATTTCTTTTTTGTGTGCCATTCTCACTTTATTTTAACGGTACAGAACAAGGAAAAAATTAAAGATTTGGAATTAAAACTCAAAAATGACGAGATAAAACGGAAAGAAGCTCTGGAACAAGGTTTAATGAATAGCAAGAAGTAGTTGAACAACACATCTTGTGCGCTGGTTGAAGCTGAAAAAGTGGTTCAACCACGACTGTGCGGTTAATTAATCAAAAGAACAGATAGGACACTCTATGTCGCCTTTTAAAGATTTTTGTTGGATTCGTTCACAATAACCCTGAGGCAGAAGCCCACAGGAGTTACACGAAGTCGGCGTAGAACAGACTCTCTCTCTGTCTTGTTCTACGCCGACTACGCGTAACTCATTTGGGCTTCTGGCTCAGGGTTATTGTGAACGAAACCCACATAAACCTTGAAAAGACAACATCTACTGTCCTATCTGTTAATCTATGGGTCTAACCATGGATTGCTAGTCGCTATTCATGAAACCTGGTCCTAGGAAGAGCAGAACACGAAGCAAGAATTGAACATATTAATAGAGAACATGAAGAAAAAATGGAGAAGTTAAGAGCACCAAGACAAGCAAATGATGGAAAGTTTAAGTTTGTAAGAAGAATACTGTTGCTGGTTTTTCTTCTCGGTTTACTAGGTCTTTTTCTTCCACACTACACTCAACTGTACAATCTGGTGAGTTTATACTTTTATTTGAAACTATATTTTTATTTTTTGAAGTAACTTATTTTTATTTCATAAGAGAGACATATTTATTTTGTTGTAAAAATAAAAATGAAAATATTAATATGTTTTTAAAGGGACTTTAAACAGAATTTCAAAAGACCTACAATTTAGAAATTGGCATTTCCGATTCAAATTCACATTTCATTTATCCTTCATCATTAAAAGGTTTAAAGGGCACCTTGTTGAATCAGGCATATACCACTCTATAAATTGAAAGGTCACTTAATAATAACAACTCTTCTTGACAAATATCAAGTGGAATATTTAATAATCATATACATTCTTTCTTTAAATCAACTAAAAATCCTGACACTAGTTTTGTAATAGGTAAAACATATTTCTTAAAATTTTCAAATTTTAAAGTTACAAAGTTATAACTGTTACAACAGTTACAAATTCAAACTGTTTAATTCCTAAAAAATATTCTTTTAAAAATTAGATAATATTTTTTGTATTGTTTAGTTGATGGAAATACTGTTTCCACCACCAGAAATAATACCAAAGAAGTTCAGACTGGAGCATAAGTTAGACCTGTAACATATTGGGTCAAACTAAATTTCACATAAATTGTATAAAAAATGTAACATTATAAAACATCAACTCGTAAAAAACAAAAACATTGTAATATCTAAGTAAGAAATTAAATATTATCTGTGAATAAAAATCATCATATTTTTTTGTATTTGCGGGGTGGTGAGCATTTCTTTATCTTTGCAGACAGCATGAATTGACTCCATATGTATTCAATGGTATGAAATCCAATAACGCATTTGTTGTTTAGTCAATTTGCTTTACAATCTATAACGGAAGGTCATATATGTTTTATTTCTTCCGGTCGTCAATATCTCCAGAAATCAGTGTTTCCTCCTTGTTTTTCTATTGATAAAGACAGAAACCCCAAGACTCGAATTTGTCTATTCAATTCTTGAGATTTAGTTGCTTTTTAGATTTGAGAGGAGAAGAAAGATCTCAAACTCTAAATTTCCATTCAATATCCCAAATATATCTTTGCAACCTAATCAAATTTTTAAAATATCATAATTGGGTAATTAGAATTTTGAAATCTCCAAAAGTCATATTTTAAAAATATTTAAAAACCAGTGTCCTAAAGATTGCATGCAAAGAATGCATGAAACACAATTTAATTGCAAAAAATAATAAATTTTGTTAAGTATCTCTTTTCATGTTTTTTTGCAATACATACAACACTGTGGACTAAACCAGTGGGGTCGGTCAAATAGGCCTAGGATTCGGCCGGGTACTGTAAAAAGTCTGAACGCGCCATGGGACTAGTCATAGTTAGCCCTCGCACGGGACTATGCCAAGAAAATTGATCCCTGTCGTATGTTAGTCTGGTTAGGGCGACGTTCTGTACCATAGGATCGGGTCAGTACACGCCATTATCTGGCAGAACGGTATAAAATGGGCAGGTCCTGTTCGAATTCAAATTTACTACGGGGATAGAGTGACAAATCAGTTATTGTTATTGTTAACTGTATAAATATTATTTGCCAGCTGCTGGATCAAATGTCAAAGTGAAATTATTTAATCACTTTGATCAAATATACAGTTTGTGCATTTTTAACATTTTCTTACTGAATGTACAAATGTCCGATTCATAACGGCACCCTTTAAACATTTATATGATTAATAATGAGGAAAATATCGTTTTGCTAGAGATTAATTTTATTCTGACCATTTTCGCCTTTGTTTCTTCAGCTAGAAATATCAAAACCACGATTAAAGATACTTAATTTTACAAGAGAAATTATAGTGTCACACTCAAACACACCTTTCAAGGGTATCGTACTGTTGTGAATCTAACATGCCTCTCTAAAACGAAAGGTCACTTAAAATATTATTCACAGCCCCTTTAACCCTATTTATCCTGACGTCTGGTTTCATGACAGGTTGCCTGATAGTGGGGGTTAAATTGACCCCCCTTCCTCAATTTTCTTATTATGACATTAATCTTTAACATTTAATATGCTTTTAAGCTCTACTTCAATAATCTGCAAAAAAAATGTCAAACTTGCAAAAATTCAAAAATTTATTGCGAAATCTGGTTATGATTAAGCAAAAAATGTGCCAAAAAAATTGCGTATATTGCAACAAATTAGACATTTTTGAAAACCCCTTGACCAAGCAAATTCAAATATGCAAAAACATTTACAAAATTTTGAAAACCTAAATTTGTAATGTAGAAAAACCGAAAATGTGCAAAGTCCTTTTAGAGGCGTCTGTGTGCAACATTTCTGTGCAATCTGCTTGTTTTTGTTAAAGGCTTCTTAAAGCGCTGTAATGACTGGAAGTAGATCTAAATATAATTTAGCCTTGTACAGGTAAAATAAGGCATTTTACAACTAAAAGAAATTTTTTAACTTTAGTTTTTAAGAAGTTGTTGGAAAAATCTTATTGATTTCTGCATGATAGATTACAAAATTTGGACCACTGTGCAGTGTACATGATAGATTACAAAATTTGGACCACTGTGCAGTGTACATGATAGATTACAAAATTTGGACCACTGTGCAGTGTACATGGCCATAAAAAACAAGTGGAGATGTTTTATACAACGTTTTAACTACTAGTGCATTATACACTAATTGAAAATTAAAAGTAAAGTTTCATAAACACTTAAAACGCAAATCTTCTTGAAACTAGAGGGAGAAATTTGTCCGGCCCAAAACCAAAGATTCCTTGGCCCAGCCGGAGCCGGTATTGCAGATTTCCGGATAATTACATATCTAACAGAAAAGCTGATAGACAAAAGAATATTTTTTTCTTTATAAAATCTTGCTTTCTCTGATAAGTCGTGTTTTTTTTTTTTTTTATCTAAATCGCACCTGTTAGGAATGTTTAAAATTATGTATTTTATACAAATTATGAATCACAAGCATTAAAAACATATTATATCATAATTATTTTCTCCCCAAAAGAAAGAGTACTTTTAAAGATATATATTTTAACGGGTTTCAGTCGTTATGGCAAAAAGTAATGGTAGCATCATAAAAAAGTACGAAATTTTTCGAACGTTTTATAGTTAAAGAATTGGTCGGATGGGGGCCGGTTTTACAATTTCTTATTACGTAATTGGAAAGCTATAAAAAATGTATAATATTTTACAAAACCCAAGGTACTAATGCAAGGAAAGTTAATTGCGTTCGTGTATACTCTGCATACATATTGAAACCAGTTCTCTCTGGGCGGAATTTGTAAACAAGAATAGATGCATAAGTGTTCGTCTAGTATCCTAGGAGAAAAAGGATTTAATTTCAAAAATTTTGAAAATGTACATAACAGTTTCCTATGACCAGAATATTTCATGGATTACTTATGTGAAAATTGATTCCATGTCAGGCTGTGACATCTGTCTTGTGTTTACTTATCCGCCCAAAGACAGTACACTGCAGTACAGAAAATGCGTACACCTCCGAAATAACTTTCCTTGCATTATAACCTTGACAAAACCTAATGTACGCATATATTTATTCACCTAAAGTTGTATTAATTTTAATTTTAAATATTTTAACCCTATCTCTGCTGGGGTACTTGAAAACCAGGATATGCTCCCCTCTAAATCCCATGTTTTATGTCCAAATATGACAAATGATACATCATTGGAAAGCTCTTGTGCTCTACTTTTAGAATTTGCAAATTTGCAAAAATTGAATTTTTTATCGCAAAATCCAGTTATATAGTAAAAATGTTTGCAAAAAAAAATTTGTCCAAAAAATGAAAAATTATACATTTTTAAAAAGCCCTTGACCATGCCATTTCAAATATGCAAAAATGTTTGCAAAACTTTAAATAACCTGATTTTTAATCAAGAAAAACTGAAAATGTGCAAATTTCCTTTGACAGGTTGTTTGCAATTCGTTTCCTTATGTCAAAGGCTTTCCAAAAAGCTAAGCTTTATCAAAACCTGACAAGTGGAAGTGGGTCAAAACAAAGATTTAGTTTGTTTCAGGAAAAGCAGTCATTCAGGCAGTGTGCCTGAGGACTCAGGCAGTTAGTATTAAAGCCCGGGTTTAGGCCTACAGGGAGGGCTTTGGGTATGTAGGAAAAGTCAAAAAATTTCAACAGCCTCAGACCAATACTTTTTGAGTTATTTAAAAAAAACTACAGGGGGGGGGGGTCAAATTGCCCCCTCCCCAGCAGGAATAGGGTTAAAAGAGGAGTTTCCGATTAAACATTTAAAATAAAGTCGTAATAAAAAGGATATGATTCTGATAAATCCCACATTGTTTTCCTGCTACATAAAAGCGCAAGACGAACAACAATTGAAAATAATCAGTTATAAACAATAACATGGATATAGAATTCAAACTTGACCAGACAACGTTTTTTTCTATTTGAAATCTTACGCGCTTTGGTTTATAATCAAACAATCTTTAAACTTACGGTTTTGTTTGTTTTAAACTTTTCATTCAAAATGTATTAGCCGGCAAAAAAGTATTTAACGAGAATTGCTATAAAATTCTGTTTAATAGCAAAATTGTGATCTCAAGTCACAGCTTTCTGGAATATTGACAGAACTGTTAAATCCACGTGTCCCCAGCCCCCCAATATTCAACCTCTTTTTACTTTTGATAGCTCCTAAATGGTCTAAAACAAAACGGCCAAAATGAGAGGCTAAAAAACGTATGTACTGACACAGGGTTGTATATTAAAATCAATGCAACACTACCTTTTTTCCTTTGCACTTTTCATTGTTCAAAGCATAAAAAGAAAAGCAGAACCAGTTTAGAAACGGATAATACAAGTTACTTCATTAATTGTATGAAGTGATCACTTGTGGAAATAAAAAACAGTAGTCATTGATTATTCTTCGACGCATTCGTATATAAAGTTAATATTTCATAATATTTTTTATTTTTTTTATGATCTGATAGTTACTTTTGAAAATGTATATCGATAATTATTGGTTGTAATATCTGAATGATTTGTTTGGAATTAAATTGATTTTTTACGATCCGAGTTGAATGTTGCCACTTTCTGAATTTGTATGGACGCTACGTTCTTCGGTACGAGTCGTTTTTAACAATTTTCTCCTAATAGACACCAAAAGTGCTTATTTTTCGCCGTAAGTCTTTACCCCTTTTCATTTTTCGCGAACACTCCCTTTAAAATCCCGGTTGCTAAATCTCTGTATAACTATCCACTTTGGACACTTAATTTTCTCAGCTTCTGATTGGCTGTTCAGTTTCCATTATCGACACTCTGATTGGTGCATTTTCTCAGCTTCTGATTGGCTGTTCAGTTTCCATTATCGACACTCTGATTGGCTGTTCAGTTTCCATTATCGACACTCTGATGAGATCAGGAATTTATCTAAAAATTTCAGCTCAGGAGATTTTTGTTGGCCAGAAACTTTAAAATAAATAAATTTTTATTTATTAGTATTTAGTGATATAAAAAGGGCAACAGATCTGAACACAAACCAAGTAGTTTTTAATAAATATTGATAATTTTATGCCTGATAAACTATTTTTGTTAAAATTTTATTTCAAAAGCAAGAAACCCTAATCGTAATTTTTGCCCAAGGTTAAAATCTGAACAGGGTATTTAAGTAACCTATTTAAAACAAAATTAATATCTACTGCGTCGTATTTTTGCTTTTTGGTAATTTTCCATAAGGGTTGTAAAAATGCAATTTGCAGTTTAAAGTACTAACTTAATCAAGTAAAAATCTAAATTAAGATTTTAATTAAAAATGTGTTGCAAATCTACAGTTGGTTCTTTGTACTCTTAAAATATTTTAAATCCTAAATCTGAATTCTTTATTCATGATGGAAACGGAAATATAAAGTACTTCTATTTTAATTGTGAACATGTTCTCTTTGAGCACCTTGTGTCACGCAAGGTCCCACAAAAAAATGTGGACCCAATCGGTCCTGCCGTTTTGGCATTTATTGGATACAAACAGACAGAAAAGCAAAGTATATTTAAAGATTTGCGGACGAGTACGAGAAACTCAAAAAAAATGATCTGAAGAAATTTTATAATTTACTATAATAAATAAACACAATGACTTTATTATTTATTATTTCAAATATAAAAAGTTTCAATCTACTTGCACGTATTGATAAATCTTAATTTACAGGGTTATCCACAAAGACAAAGACTGTAAAGACGACCGAAAACTCTTAAAATATAACGATCCCAAGGTTATCCTAAGTTTTCCTTAGATATAATAATTTTATATCTTTTCTATTGGTTTGGAAAAGTAACAAACAAATTTACAGTTGCAGGGAATCAAAAATATAAGGAAAAAGTAAGTAAAAATTCCGTACAGGTAACAATTTTGCGGAAAATCCACGGAAATTCCTAGGAATCTCTCCCAGGAATCCGCCGAAATTCCTAGGAATCTTCCATCCTGTGAAAATGTCGACAGAAATTGGATATATTCCCGAGAATTTCCAGGGAAAGATTCTCCAATGAGAAATTCCTGGGATGAACACAGTACAGTGTCAGGGGTTTGGCCCAGCCTGGAGACTATTTCAGTGATTATTTCAGAATCAATTCTGGGGAATTTCTCGTAACCCATTCTGAGGAATTTCTTGTAACCCATTCTAAGTAATTTCTTGTAACCAATTCCGGAGAATTTCTCTAGAATTGGAATTTTCTCTGGAATCTGACTTCAGAAATTTTCCAGAATTGGATTCCAGAATTTCTCCAATATTAATTTCAGGATTTTCTCTGGAATGAAAATTAAGAATTTTTCCGGAAGAAATTCTTGATACCAATTTTGGCGAAATTCCCCATATCAATATCAGAGAAACTCTTGAACACAATTCTAAATTTTTTTTCGAAAATGGGTTTTAAAAGAAAAAACTTAGTTCCAAAATAAAATAGTAAGAGGCTAAATTTAAAGAATTTGAGCTGCAGCTTAAATTTAAGCCTCGGCTTAATATGGTTGGTTCCACTTAGAATTGTATTCAATTTTTCAAGATTTAAGCCGATGTTCCATAGAAACCGGTTTTTGGTGGATTTAAGGCAAGCTTAAATTCATTAAATTCGAACACTGGTCTTTTTGACAATACTATTAAAACATTGAAGTTTTTGATACAATGTTATTATAAATATGAGATTCTCAAATTACTCAGGAATTGGATACAAATTCAGGAAACATTCTCAGGAATTTATCTAAACTTACTCTCATGTTTAGCTCTGTCTGTTAACTTGGTGACCAAGTCCCGAGAATTTCTCAGAAATTTCCGGTTAATTATTCTCTAGAATTTCTGGAGGAAAAATTCCCCAGAGATTCTCAAGAATTTCTTGAACTAATTCTCTTTTTTATTTCCCGTAAAAATTCGTTAATTTGGAGACCAAGCCCTGAGAAATTATCAGGAATTCCTAGAGAAGCATTCCAGAGAATTTCCCAGGAATTTCTTGTTGGGAAATTCAGTTAATTTGGTGACCAAGTCCTGCAAATTTCTCAGGAATTTACGGAAAATATTCCTAAGACTTTCTCATGAATTTCTTGGGAAAAAATTCTGGAGAAATTCTCAGGAAATTCTTTAATTAATTCTTTTGTTTATTTCCCCTTAAAATCCGTTAATTTGGTGACTAAGTCCTGAGAATTCTCAGGAATTTCCAGAGAAGTATTCCAAAGTAATTCTCATGAACTTCTTGGAAAATAATTCCGGAGAATTTCTCGGAACTGAGTCACAAAACTCTGATCCCCAAATAATCTCTAATCTTGAGAAACCAATTCTGCTGAATTTTTCGAAAAATTCGGAGGAATCAGTTACAGGAAATGGTTCTCCAGATATTCCTAGGAAATTCTACAGAGAAAGTCGTCACGGTTGGAGAATTTGGGTATATTCCTCACGTTTGTTAACTGGGGTAATTGGGTTCTGTTGGTCAGAGTGATCACCCAATTAAAGAGTTACATGCCCGATTCACAACAGTACCCTTCATTCCTTTATCTGAACAACAATGCGAAAGATGTCGTCGTTTTTTAAATGTTGTAAGCAAAAAGTTGAATTTAACAGTCGTCATGCTGTAATAAGATTTCATTTGGATAATTTGTAATTTAAAAATTTTAATTGCCGCATTTCAAACCGTCTACAATTTAGAAACACTTTTTAAATTGAGATTCTAAATTTTAAACCCATCTAGTTAAACAATCCTCGTGTTCTGATACAAAGCAAAGTCATTGATTTGAAAAATGTATACTAACGCAGCACATAGACAAGTGAAAACATATCAGCGAAAAAAACACACACAAATTTTGCAATAATAAAAAAACTTTTTTTGAGAATGGAGCCAACATGCATGAGCATTATAAATCTTTGTTAAATAGTATGGCAAGCAAATACCTGCTCAAAAATAAGCATAGTTTTGAATACATCAAAGCATGAAGACAAGAAAAAAAAAGTTTAATGTATGATAATGTTTATCCTAAAGTAATACTTAACATAACTTACATGTTTGTCCTGTCCTTTGTTTGTCTTGTTCTATGTTTGTCTTGTCCGTGTTTGTCTTGTCTCATGTTTGTCTTGTTCTATGTTTGTCTTGTCTCATGTTTGTATTGTCTCATGTTTGTATTGTCTCATGTTTTTATTGTCTCATGTTTGTCTTGTTCTATGTTTGTCTTATCTCATGTTTGTATTGTCTCTTGTTTGTCTTGTCTCATGTTTGTCTTGTCTCATGTTTGTCTTGTCTCATGTTTGTTTTGTCTCATGTTTGTATTGTCTCATGTTTGTCTTGTCTCATGTTTGTCTTGTCTCATGTTTGTCTTGTCTCATGTTTGTCTTGTCTCCTGTTTGTCTTGTTCTATGAAAGTATGTTTTCATTTTTTTAATCTTGATATATTTTGTTGATAAAATAAGTAAAATTTGACTGATTGAGTGGCGCTGCAGGAAAAAATAAAATTTCTTTCTTTCTTAAAAACAAAAAGTTGTCCCACAAATTTTCCCGGGGGGGACATCCCACCAATTTTAAGCCACACAGCCTCTTGTTGCTCGGAAGATTGAAGTAATTACATCCTAAAATAAGTAATAATATTAATAATAATAAAGTAATAATAAACGTTTAGCCAGATGTAGAGTTTTCATTCTTTTGTCCTTTAGACTTTATATTCAGTCCAGCACTAAACTCAGAAATGAACACTCGCCTTCTTTTCTTAGCTTTAGTCCTTCCTCTTGGAGTCTTCAAGGCAACATCAGCTGTGGAGACAACCACAGCTACAACTACAACTTCTTGCTGCCCTAAGAAGGTTTAATAGATAGATATATATTTAGGCTTAATTACTACAACATGAACATCAAAATTTGTTTGTTTTTGATTGATCGTTAACAGATAATATATCATCACTAATCAACAATTCCCGAAACAGAAACAAAGGCAAATGAAAACTATTTAGATGCTTTACAACAGATTTGCATGGACAGAAATTATCTTTATGTTAATTTTACTTATTCTGTGATAATGTTATTCTATTTAATATTTATCAGATCATATCTGGTGATGGGGATAGCCGTTCAGGAACCTACACTTTTAACACTACTATGGATGTTAGCACCCTTCCAGGAGAGTGCAAGGATGGATGCATCTACACCAAGATGGGTTTAGGTAGTATTTTTGATGCAGAGGTTGGGGATGTAATATTTGATGAAGGGGGAAGGGGTGTCTCTGTCTTTGATTTTAGTTTAAATCTTCCAATTTTTGGCTGCACGCCTAATTTGTGATATAATTTTGAAAAATAAAATAATACTGGACACTAATGTCCTCTAATGAGCTCTACTGACCTCTTCAAGTAGAAAATGTTTCAACTATGGCTTTATGCATATCAAACGAAAGCTAGGACCCCAAGGAATACAGTAGCAGAAATGAAATCAATGATTAATCTTCTAATTTGACCTCTAAAGACATTAAATTTAGCTTTATGCTTATCAAAAGAAACGACATCTAATGACCTCAAATATTGTACTTCTTGGGTTGAGATATACAGCAGTTGCCATTAGAGGGGTTTAACATAATCCAACAATATTTAGACGAGTTGTTCTGTTTTGCTCCTGGAAATCTGACATCAGAATGTGTAAGTGTTATAAACCATCATGTTTTCACTTTAAACTAAAATATGAATCGCACTCAAGATTGAATTCTTTTATGTATTTACTAATAACTTCTTTTTTTGAGGATTATAAACATACAAAAAAAAATATAAAAAAAGTAAAAAACTTTCTGTGAGAAGCTTTAGAGAAAAACAGAAATGTTTTGAATTTTAGTGACTGATTCCTTGACACAAACTCTTCTTTTTTAAAGAAAATTACGGGCTGAGGTAAAAAATCATTCGGGTTTTTAATTCTTAAAATCATGTTCACATGGTTTTATTACAATACCAGGAGACCAATACAACTGTGCAACAGGAACATGAAATTAAAGAAATCAACATTCTGAAATAATAGGAAGACAAATTGTTTCGTCTTTCTTGCAATTTAAACCCAAAAAAAATACAAATTTGTCATTATTAAAAAAATATTCTATTCATGTTTTCATGAACAGTTCATTTTATTTGTTCATTTTCATTTTCATTTGTTGCTATAATTCATTTTTTTATTGCCGGTCGTAAATGAAACATTGTGTTTGTCCTGTATTTACTTACACCTTGTGTTTACCTTATGTTTAGGTAGTTTTAACAGCAATAAGCTTTGCCGTGAATAGTAGTCCAAAAGGTATTAATTAAGTCACTATGCATGCTACTATGCTTAGTCCTGGTTAGGTTTATTTTTGTCTCAAAAAGATTAAAAGGAGGGGGAGATTTTTGGCGCCAACTTTGAAATTATATTCTAATTGTCTCATCTATAGCTTTTTCGAATTTATTTGTATTACCCACCATACTTCATACATGTTCTACACTACCTTATATGTTGTGATAAATACTATTTTGGAAATTTTTTTAAGTATGTTGTCGTTGAGGAATCTATTTTAGTCATTTGTGGAAATAACCATGGGGCCCTATCTCTGTCTATTTATAAAGGAAATGAGTTTTTGCCACAAACTTAGATTTTCTAATATGATATTTTGATATTTCAAACTTAGATTATTTGATCCAACAGAATTCATAATTTGAAATATTTAAGGCCTACATTGGGTTAAAAGATCTGAGGATTAGAAAATCAGAATTTGTGGCAAACACTAAATTCCTCTATTGTTTTTATTGCAGGGGTTGGAAGTTATCCTTGCACCAATGAAATAACAGCCTCTTTCAACACCCTATCTGGTAATAAAAAGAAAAGGTTTACCCATTTGGTGACAAACTCTTTATAAGACAATTTATGAGACCGAATTTAATAAATTTGAGCCGTGTCTCATATCCGTAAAATACCGGTTTTAATTAAGTGCCGGCTTAAAGCCACGCCTCAAATTTAAGCCGTGGCTCAAATTCTTTAAATTTGGTCTCTGGAAAGATAAACTCCTGACAGTACAGATGTCAAATTTGAACAATTTGAGCCGCGTCTTGAATTTAAGACTCAGCTCAAACATGGTTGGTTCTACTTGAAATTGTATTTGCATTTTTAGTAAATTTTTGTATTTTTTTAAGTGAAATTTTGTAAGCCTTTTTTCAGTGTCACTTAATTATGTTGGGAGGTTTATTTTTTGTCTATTAAACAGGGTCTGAATCAGGATTTTCCTAGGGGAAGTGCAAAGATGGGAGTGGGGCTATAGGGACCCAGGATCACTGAGTAAAACGTAGTGAATGAGGCGGGGGGTTTTAGGGGGACTGAGCATGTTTTGATCACTGTGATAATGATAAAGTTTTGTGCAGAATTGTACATCGCTTATGCTTGCTTCCGAAAAAGTCGTTTTAGTGCAAAAATGCGGAATTCCGCGCAAAAGTTTGCGGAATACTAGTTACAGCACAAATGACCAATTATTTGGGACAGTTCATCCCTTTCAAAACCAGGAGTTTCAATTTCATTTGATCTATCAGATAACAGTTCATTTAAAAAAGGAATTTTCCAAAAATAGTGTTAACAGTGTAGCAAAATTTGACTTCTAATATTTCCTAGTTTTCATTGTATTGGATGAAGAAATAATATCATGTGGAGGACAAGACCAAAGGTAATATATTTACTGACATCCGGCTTTTAATTTTTAAATTTTACACTGGTGAACAAGTATTCCTTATGTTCTGTGATGTTCATTACAAGAGATAAAAACATGGTGAAGGGGGTGGGACACCTTAGAGTATAGATATTAAGTTGCATTACACTTGCATAGCTAAACTTTTTAAAGCGAGCACATTAAATAAAATTTAATAGTTCGGGTGCTTGGGACACAAAAAGATGTGACACACATTTTAATATCCATGTTTCAAGGTCTTTTAAAGATGTAATTTTGTATCTTTAGTTTATGTAACAAAAGAGTCATTGACTATTTAAGTAAAAAAAAACAAGTTGATAGTGTGAATTATAAAAGTGGCAGAACAACAACTGTTTGTATTTTATTGACATCCTTTTAGTGGAAGTATGAGTGGTAGTTGTCAAGTATGGCGGAATAAGACGTGGCAAACCTTCCCACCCTTGAATCAGGAACGGAGTGTGTTTGCAATGAACACTTTTCAAGACACAATAGTTGTCAGCGGAGGGTTAACTGTCGGATCAAAGTAAGTTTGCTTAATCTGATTTAATTTCACCGAGACCGTGATATATGTATTTTTTATTAAAGAAACTTTAGACATAATTTTAAGTTAATATTGACATCCTTCTAGCCAGGCTCTAAAAGAATTTAAAATTTTCGGAGCTCCAAAGCAAAATTTAGTCTGGTGTAGTAAAAATAAGGTATTTAGGAAGTATGCTTGAGGACTCAGACAGTAGGTATAAAAGCCCAGCTTTTAGCCTTAAAGGGAGTGTTCGCGAAAAATGAAAGGGGGTATAGGCTTAATGCAATAAAAAAGCGCTTTTGATCGCTACTAATCTTACTTCTATCTGTTGCGTCTATAAGGAGAAACTTGTTAAAGACGTCTCATACCGAATAACTTAGCGCCCATACAAATTGAGAAAATTGCAACATACGACTTAGACCGTAAAAAAATCAATTTAATTTCAAACAAATCATTCAGATATTACAACCTATAGTCATCGATTATCTTTCGCCAAATTTGTATATAGTTTATATTTTATAATATTTTTTAATTAATTTGTTTTGAATTTGATTATTTCTCTGGCGGCTTGCGCAACTATCTAAGAATGCCGCGGACCACTCACACTTTTCGAAATCGGTTAAAACGTTTTCTAAAATAATAAAATATTATAAAATATAAACTATATAAAAAAGTGGCGAAAGATAATCGATGACTATAGGTTGTAATATCTGAATGATTTTTTTTTAAATTAAATGGATTTTTTACGGTCTAAGTCGTATGTTGCAATTTTCTGAATTTGTATGGGCGCTAAGTTATTCGGTATGAGACGTCTTTAACAAGTTTCTCCTTATAGACGCAACAGATAGAAGTAAGATTAGTAGCGATCAAAAGCGCTTTTTTATCGCATTAAGCCTATACCCCCTTTAATTTTTCGCGAACACTCCCTTTAAGTGAGAGGAATGTGTTAGTTAGAAAAACCAGAAAATTTAAGCTTCTTAGCTCTTAAATACTTTTTGAGTTTTTGAAAAAAAACGATAAGGGGCAAGGTAAGTTTTTCTTTTACTTTTGAAAAAATCTCGATCTCAATTTTCAACTTATCCAAAATGGCAAACTTACAGTTAAAGAACACTGCACCTTGGAACTTTTATAATGTTTGAAATGTTCTGTTCTTCTCTTTTCTGGTTAGTCTAAAGTCTCTAAAATGTGGTTACTTATTCAAATATTTTCAGGCCTAGCCGTCCTGTAAGCAATTTAAAAAAATCATTTTTTATCTGATTTTTTAAGCTAATATGTGTTAATTAAGACATCATATTTTTTAATATTTACAAGATCTTATCAAATAAGCATATTTTAAAAGCGGTAAATTATTAAGATTTTTTAATACACAAAGTAGGAAATTAAGAATGGCCCAAAAATCATGTTTTTTTTGGCACATTCTTGATTTATCTAATTTTAACATACAATTAGTGTCGCTCAAAAAATTGTGTTTAAGCGCTTTTACGTGGTTTTATTGTAATACAAAGTGTTATTTATTATTATTATTTAAATTTATTTTAGAACAACGAGCAGTATGGAGATTTATAATAAAACGGCAGAAAAATGGGAAACGCTTACTGATGGTTTAAGTTTATCTAGAAGCTTCCACTGCGCTGTTGATATTGGGTATTGTAACAATTTTACAATTAACAATTATTAAGTTATGTCTGCTTGAGAATATTTTATGTGGGTGTTGAAGAGTTCTTGATTATTCTACTGCAAGACTGTATCATGTCAATGTGTCCGCACTAAAGTATAATATGGGATGTTTGAATTTATGTATAGCCTGCGCGGCAAATTACCTGTATGTATAAAATGCCTTATTTTTCACATCAGCTGTATGTTAGATAAATAGAAGGTAGTTAAAGTAGTAATAATTTAAATTTTAAAAAGAAAGATATGTATTGATTGATATATAAATTTTGAAATTAAATGGTAGAAATTTTAAAAAGTCAGTGGGGGATTGAAAAAAAAATTCTAGAATAAATGTTTATATATAGATTTGAAAAAGTCGGAGGAAGTGAGGGTAGTGGGGAATTGAAAAAAAATTCTTGAATAAATGTTGATAAAAAAGTTTCAACAAGTCGGTGGTAGTGAGGGTAGTTTGAAATAAAAAACAAATTCTTGAATAAATGTTGATATATAGATTTAAAAAGTCAGTGGTAGTGAGGGTAGTTTAAAATAAAAAACAAATTCTTGAAAAATGTTGATATAAAGATTTTAAAAAGTCGATGGTAGTGAGGGTAGTGGGGAATTGAAAAAAAAATTCTTGAATAAATGTTGATAAAAAAGTTTCAACAAGTCGGTGGTAGTGAGGATAGTTTGAAATAAAAAACAAATTCTTGAATAAATGTTGATATATAGATTTGAAAAAGTTGGAGGTAGTGAGGGTAGTGGGGAATTGAAAAAAAAATTCAACATTTATTCAAGAATTTTTTTTTCAATTCCCCACTACCCTCACTACCTCCGACTTTTTAAAATCTATATATCAACATTTATTCAAGATTCTGTTTTTTATTTCAAACTACCCTCACAACCACCGACTTGTTGAAACTTTTTTATCAACATTTATTCAAGAATTTTTTTTAAATTCCCCACTACCACCAACTTGTTGAAATCTATATATTAACATTTATTCATGATTTTTTTTCAATTCCCCACTACCCTTACTACCTCCAACTTTTTAAAATCTATATATCAACATTTATTCAAGAATTTGTTTTTTATTTCAAACTACCCTCACTACCACCGACTTGTTGAAACTTTTTTATCAACATTTATTCAAGAATTGTTTTTCAATTCCCCACTACCCTCACTACCTCCGACTTTTTAAAATCTATATATTAACATTTATTCAAGAATTTGTTTTTTATTTCTAACTACCCTCACTACCACCGACTTGTTGAAACTTCTTTTTCAACATTTATTCAAGGTTTTTTTTTTTCATTTCCCCACTACCCTCACTACCACTGACTTTTTAAAATCTATATATTAACATTTATTCAAGAATTTGTTTTTTATTTCAAACTACCCTCACTATCACCGACTTGTTGAAACTTTTTTATCAACATTTATTCATGGTTTTTTTTTAATTCCCCACTACCCTTACTACCTCCAACTTTTTAAAATCTATATATCAACTTTTATTCCAGAATTTGTTTTTTATTTCAAACTACTTTCACTACCACTGACTTTTTAAAATCTATATATTAACATTTATTCCAGAATTTGTTTTTTATTTCAAACTACTTTCACTACCACCGACTTGTTGAAACTATTTTTTCAACATTTATTCAAGAATTTTTTTTCAATTCCCCACTACCCTCACTACCTCCGACTTTTTAAAATCTATTTATCAACATTTATTCAAGAATTTGTTTTTTATTTCAAACTACCCCCACTACCACCGACTTGTTGAAATTTTTTTATCAAAATTTATTCAATTATTTTTTTTATCAATTCCAACATTTCCTCACTACCACCAACTTCTTAAAATCTTTTTATCAACATTTATTCAAGAATTTTTTTCAAACTATTTTTGTCGACTTAAAAAAATCTTGGGTGATACTTATGCATTTACAATTTACAATTAACAATTTACAAATTATGTTTGTCAACTTAAAAAAAATCATGGTGATAATTATACATTTACAATTTACAATTTACAAATTATTTTTGCCAACTTAAAAAAATTGTGGGTGATACATATGCAATATGCATTTACAATTTACAATTTACAAATTATTTTTGCCAACTTAAAAAAATCATGGGTGATACATATGCAATATGCATTTACAATTTACAATTTACAAATTATTTTTGCCAACTTAAAAAAATCATGGGTGATACATGCAATATGCATTTACAATTTACAATTTACAAATTATTTTTGCCAACTTAAAAAAAACATGGGTGATGCATATGCAATATGCATTTACAATTTACAATTTACAATTTACAAATTTTGTTTGCTAACTTAAAAATAAATGTTGATGATACTTAGACACTAATGCATTTACAATTAAGTGTTAACAATTTACAAAATATACTTATACATGTTTGTTTTTTAATCTATTTACCTATGAAATATCAATTTACAAAATGGTTGTAAATTTACAAATGACAAAGGAACATTAAACACATATACACTGGTCTCATATCGTGCCTGGTATCTTTTTTTTCAATTTCCAACTACCGTCACTTCCTAGACAAAAAGCTTAAGCAAGTCTTAAAGAAAATAAAGAGGCAGTTTAAAGAATTTTAAAGTTGAATTTCTTGCTAAATATTTTATTTTATATAAAGATTTTTCCAAAAAATTCGGATACTTTTTTAAGAAGAATATCTGCAAACTACCATACATACCTATGTTTATAAAAAAATTCACCTATTTTTCAGCAAAAAAAGGCATTTTATACGTTCACACAAAGGACTCCGCCTTCCCAACCCTTGAAAAAGTCCTTAGAGTAAAAGTATGGGATTGAAATACATTGAATAACTTCATTTTAACACGGCCAGCTTATTAATTTTTTTTTGGCCGCTTACTGTAGTGTTATATGTAATCTATTAAATACTGCCGAAAAAAAGGTCAGAAAAATTCAAAAAATCAGAAAATTTATTTTGAAAGTAAAGTTGTGTGACACGGCAAACTAAATAAATGTTAAAACTTTTTTAGTGGAAAAATGTTGATTATTGGTGGACAACATGACGAAGAAACATTTTTATCAAAAGTGGAACAATATACAATAAACCTAGATACATCTAAAGCTATTTATGAAACTAAAGCAGATATGCTGAAACCTAGGTAGGTAATATTTATTTAATCAATTGAATTTAAATATATGTTTTTTCCCCCATAAACAAAAGTGTTTCTAGAGAAACTCTTAAAGATTGCTTTGAAACAAATATCCTTAAAATTTGGTCACAAAAAAAATTCTCCAGAAGATCTTCAGTGAAATACGGTGGATCCCTAATCATAGTGATTTTAAGGGGAACATAATTGTAAGATGGGGTCCTAAAAAATTAAAGTAATTTTCCAGAGAAAATTTTATAGAAAATTCTAAAGAAAGTCTTGTAACCAAACTGCAGAATTTTGAGAATCGATCTCATGAAATTCATAAAAATTCTAGAAAACCTTATTGATCGAACTCAGGAAATTTTGTAAAAATATTTTACAGAACTTCTTCAGAGCAATCTCGGAGATCGTTAAATACCAGTTCCATATATTTGACATCATACAATTCAAATGAGATTAAAAAAAATGCTTGCAATACATCAGCCTGGTCATGATATTTTTAGAAAATCTTTAAATAGAGTGGCACAAACGTTTTACAAAATATTATATCAGAAATGTTCCACACATTCCTAGCTAAAATATCTATAAATTTTAATTTTTCATGCAGATATGTTATGGGGTGCACTGTCTTTGAGAACAATGTGTATGTTTCTGCTATTACAGAAAATACTGTTGATATTTATGATGTTGATACGGATGTTTGGAAACAGTTACCTGCTAAACTGAATGATGATGGTTCAAGGTTTATGTTTCGTAACCTTGTTAATCTGAATGGAGCTTTGTATTTTTTTGGCAAGAAAACACAAGTATACAAGGAAGGAAACTGGAGTTTTGTTAATGATTCAACTATAAGTGAAGAAAATTACTTCAATATGGTGGTTGCACCTCTAGCTTGTGAGAACTAACTATAGTAACAATATGGATAAATGTTGACAACATATGATGTATGGACTACCGACTAGTTTGTGATTTGGATTTCATTTCACCCTGGATATGCTAATGGAAACATATAATTAATAGATTTGGAATCAAATTTGTGATATTTCTAATTTTTTTATATTTTAGTTTGGTTTTATGCTTTGCACTGTGCACACTTATATTATAATATATATTGGAATTGTAATTGGAATTGGAATTAGAAATAAATTTTATACTTTTTAATAAAAGTGTTTAATTAGGTAAAATTAAAGCAAAATAGGCTTTAAAACAAGTATAACTCATAGATTTAATTCTGGACTTATCTGATAATAATTTAAACAATCTTTTATTGCCAATAAAACAAATTCTAAAATAGGAAGGTAATAATTGGTTCACAACTTTTATTCTAAAATAGGAAGGTAATAATTGGTTCAAAACTTTTATTAATAGGAAGGTAATAATTGGTTCAAAACTTTTATTCTAAAATAGGAAGGTAATAATTGGTTCAAAACTTTTATTCTAAAATAGGAAGGTAATAATTGGTTCAAAACTTTAATTCTAAAATAGGAAGGTAATAATTGGTTCAAAACTTTTTTTTTCAAAGCGTTAATACAGGGCCATGGTCAATTCGCCTATTTGAATAGTTTTTTTAATCCTCATCAAATCTTGGAAATCCTTCAAATTAAAAATATCTTACTATACAAATTTTACTTTTTTCAAAGAGAACAAATTTATACCCTGACAGAAAATAAATTTAGATTCATAAAAAAAATAGTTTTTTGAAAAATTTGGGACTTCTCAATATTTGAGGAGCTTTTAAAAAGCGGAAAAAACGAACAGGTTAAAAAACGGTTTAAATTAAGCGGTGCAAAAAAGGCTTCATAGATTAATTTCATTTAAAAAGCTATGCATTGACAAATGAAATTAATTTCTGCAGTCTCTCATAAGCACCCATGAGTTCTTTGCAGAGATTTCAATGCTACATTTTTAATTATATTTATAATTTATATTTAAAATCCTTTACTTAATTATTACTGTGGATGATATCGTGGTTTTTAGCCTTAAAAGATGTTTATCTCTAAAAGTTTTCTCCCAATGTATGTCTCCATGTTGCACAAGTCCCATTTGTTAGAGAAACCGCATAAACAATTCTTTTTATATATATTTTTATGGTATCAATAATCATAGTAATAATCACTGTACATTTACTCTACTAAAACCTCGGCAGTTTAACCTTGTATGATTTAAGGTAACAAATTATTTTAGAAGAAAGAACTAAACCAAAAAGGTCTGAAATTGACGAGAAATCATTATATAATGAACGCTAAAAGGAAAGGAAAGACTTTAAAATGACGGGGAGTCTTAATACAAACTAAACACATTTTAGACTATTGTAAATAAACTGATTACTCGACTCAAACTCTAATTTTCTAATTTGATGACGAACATATATATCTATAAAATAAGGCAAAATGTTACCAAGACTATTTTTAGGAGATTTTTTAGTTCCACAGAAAATAAAATAGATTTAAGATCATCAAATTAACCATAATCTAGATGCAAAGAGAATAGAATATATATTAGAGTGGAATTTAGACAATCCCTCGGTATGAATTTTGTCAGTCCCTCTCAGCCTGAAAGTGTACAAATCATGTAAATGTTCACAAATTGTATGCAGTAGAGTTACTTTAATACAGTATGTTCCCTAGACTATCCATTTCAATTTCGAATTTTTTAAAGCTGTTAAATAAATTTATAAAATGAATAAGGTGAATCAAAAAACATCATTTGATTTATAGTTATAACGAAAAATCATCGTTTGTTAAAGGGAAAGGCATAGAGTCTATGTGAAATGATCATTGGTCAATTATAAAACCAGCCTATTTCATAATTTGGTTTTCTGTTAATATTAATTTAAAAAAATTAACTTTATGACCATCTTCAATTTTGGGGTAAAAAAAATTGGACTATATTTTGATATCTTGAATATTTCTAAAATATTGGGTTTCCCTCTTTGATTACCTGCAGGCTACAAATTATAAGAATATGTTTTTTTATGAAAAAAAAACATCAGATTGATTTCTATCCACGTGTGCATGGCAGGCTATCAGAGAATTGATTTAGAGAAAATCAAATAATTTTCAAGAAAACTTTTCTATAAAATGATGTTCTAGGGCCCAAAAGGTTTTATGGCACAGATATGTGAAGTACACCTGGAGTATGGAAGCAGTACAACAAAATGGCCGTTTTACACTTTTTTCTAGTAAATTCCACTCTAATATATATTCTATTCTCTTTGTCTAGATGTGAGACTATATTAAAGATATTATCAACAATATAATTAATCCGTATTGAGCTGAGAGTGCAGTATTGTAGAGAGTTTATTTTGTTCTTATAAGACTGTACTCTCACCTCAAATATTATGTCTGTAAGCAATCTAGATCCGTGATATATTACGATAACTCTACTCAAAGTCTAAAATTAGAATCTAACTGACTCTATCTCTAGCCAAAACTCAAGGCTCTCTATCCTTAGCCAAAACTCAAGGCTATGTATACGTCCGTATTAAACGATAAATCCTATTGAACTAATTTATTTTATATACAGGTGAACGAAACGGACCGGGCTAGCCCGGCAGGGTCAACATACAGATAATTAAGATATATTACTAGCATTGATAACATAGATAATATTACACATCGATAAAGAATATATTACATATCTAGCCGGTCACTCTCTTTAAACAATTGTATTTCCTTGGTAAAGTTAACTAATTTTAGGTCGTCAGTATAATCTAACCCTCTGTGGATAGCCCTGTAGCTGTGCGGGGTCCGCATGATTTCGTAGAAGGGGTAAACAACGGAGGGATTGTTGAGGGGGGGATAGTGGTAGATCGATAGATAGATAGAAAGAGATTTAGACAATTAAAGTGCCAAGCTTGGTCACATGACCTCTTTATCATTATTGCACCTTTTAACTCAACGGAAACGAAGTATAATATTTTTATCTATCTATCTATCTATCTATCTATCTATCTATCTATCTATCTATCTATCTATCTATCTATCTATCTATCTATCTATCTATCTATCTATCTATCTATCTATCTATCTATCTATCTATCTATCTATCTATCTATCTATCTATCTATCTATCTATCTATCTTTCTATCAATCAATCTATTTATACATCTATATCAAGGTTATAATGCAAGGAAAGTTATTTCAGATGTGTACGCATCTTTTGTACTGCAGTGTACTGTCTCTGGGCGGTAATGTAAACACATGACAGATGCCACAGCCTGACATGGGATCCATCTTTCACATAAGATATCAATGAAATATTCTGGTCATAGGAATATATTATGTGAATTATCAAAATTATCAATTAACACAATGCTTTTAACCTCCTCTGATACTAAACGAACACTGATGCATCCATTCTTGTTTACAAATTCCGCCCAGAGAGAACCGATTTTAATATGTACGCAGAGTATACATAACTGCAATTAACTTTCTTTGCATTATTCATGTTTTAGGTGGAAAAATGCTGAAATAGAATTAACCAAAAATATTTTTGGTACATAAGAAAAAAACAATGTTTTGTAAAAAAATTATTTTTTCTTCCTAAATGAAAATCCGCTAAAAATATTTTACAAATCTGCTCCAAACAAATCTAACTAAATCAATGACAAAAAAAATTTTCTTTTCAAATAGTTTTTATTCAAAATCTAATTGACGAGAGTTTTAGAACACTTCGCGCCCATCTTCTTTTTCAACTTTTAATTGTGGCTCTATCTGTAAGCATATTCTCTTTGACAATTTAAAACAATAACAAAAAAAACTTAATTTTACAAAAATCAAACTTTTTGAAATTAAAAAATCAAGTATATTTTCTTTTTAATAGTAGAAAATGAAGCTATACTTGAAATGTAAGATTCCTTTCCAATAAAACATTAAATTTATTTTGTTTTGACGTTGATCGTTTCGCAAAGAAATTGAGTGTTTGCCACAAACTTTGATTTTCTGATTCCTTTATCGTTGCAACCCAAACTATGAATGCTGTTGGATCAAATAATCGAAGTTTAAAAGATTAAAGGTTTGTATAATTATTTTGAAAAGATATAAGGATTAGAAAATTTAAGTTTGTGGCAAAGACTCATTTCCTTTGTTGGTTGCATATCAAAACTTACACATTTTTTCTTCTCAGCAATAGTGAGAAATTTAAAAGGATTGTCTGTGAAAGATTTTAAACTAAAATGGAAAAAACTTTAGTTTTATGTATTAGAATTGTTTAACAATTTTAATTTTTATATTTAGAAATAAGATGGGACGTGTGTGGGGGTGGGGGTAACTTTAATTTTCCTCTCTATATATCTATAGGGCTGTGTATTGAGATATTGACTTGTTTATTATTGTTGGGGTTAGATTCCATCCCGTGGTTTAAATAATCAAAACCCGGGCCGGTAACTTCAGAACTTCAGGGGTGAGTTTATCCATTTTTTAACTTTGTAAATATTAATGAATATTTTTTACCTAAACCAATTTCAAGATTTTTCTAGAAATTCATTGTTTTAATCAAAAAAAAAATCAATGTTGATAAGACATAATCTTTGATCGATCTTATTTACTCAAATGACAAACACTGTTCTACACTTTTAAAATAAAAAAAATAATACTTTTAAATACTTAAAACGAAAATATGTTTCAAATAAATTATTTTCTGATTTTTCATTTGAATGTTTATATCTAGCCCTGTAATATAACAGGTGAAGTTTGGTGCTGCCAGGGTGCAGTGTAACTACCTCCCCCCTCCAACATATATATATAGATATATATATATATATATATATATTAAACCGGTCTTAAACAACAAACAACCATTGTGCAGTGAGAAAATGGACTTTTAGTTAGAGTAGTTAAAAAGTGATGAAAAACAGTACAGTGTAAAATTTAAACATAAACAATGTTTGCAGTTTTAAGATTCAGTGTTTGGTTTTTACTCCGAGATAGGTTTTGCTCCAGGTAGTGGTTAACATAGGCCGCCATGTTGCTCTAGGTTGGTTCAATAACACAAGAAACTCAACCCATTGCAAACATAATCACAGAGAAACGTGTAAAAAAACACTGAACTCAGACTTGTGAAAATTTGCAATTAAAATTGAATTAAAAGTGACGAAAGTGTAGTAAATAATCATGAGTTTTGTTTTGATAATAAAGAAAAACATCATAAGAAAGCCAAACATGGCTAAAATATGAACATTCTAAAAACAGAAGCCTTGATAGTTCTGAATTCATAGCTATTTGTACCAAAATGGTTTTGTGAAAAATGATTGTAATTCTGGATTTTGAACTGTGAGCAAGTGATTTTGTGCTAAAAAGGGTTTACATAGTGAACTAGTGAATCTAAATTGTGTCAAAAATGGGTAAATCAATTCATATGCCCAGATCGTGCCAAACTGCCATTTTGACACTTCAACTTATTTCAACTTTTGAGAGACAAATTTTCGACTTTTTGGGCTACATGTGGCTGCCCATTTTGGCCAATTTTTTCAACATTATATTCGTGATTTTTGGACTGTTTGGCCTTTACCAATACAGGGTTAAATACTTAGTGGTGTACACAGTCTGGATGATAGGAACGTATATTTTTGGACATTTTTTTCTTTAAAATAATAAATGTTTTCGACCTCATCATCAGGTTACAAAGATAGAAGGGTAAAAAATCAACAACAAAATTGTAAAGCAATTGAGTCTTGCCACAAACTCAAATTTTCTAATCCCCATATCTTTGCAACCTGATGGTGTAAACATGTTTAACATTCCAAACTTAGACTATTTGATGTAACAGAAATCATTATTTATAATATTCAAAATTAGAGTTTGGGGCAAAACTCTATTCCTTTCTTTGTAATTTACAAAAGTTGAAAAATATACGATGTTGTAGTTTGGTTAGCATACAATGTTTTTATTATTTGTTTCTACCTGGAGGTAGGACAAATGAATAAAAAAGAAGATATTCTCAGGTAATTTACATCTATATATAAATTTGGCTTGTCTGTCTGTTTCTTTGCCTGTCTGTTTGTATCTGCAATAAACGTCAAAACGGCTGAACCGATCGGGCCCAAATTTTTTGTGGGACATCATGTGACCACAGGGAAGGTTTATGAATGATAAAAAATTTTAAAAATGAGTTTTAAAGGTTTTTAATTTTGTAAAAAATTTAAATTTTTGAAAATCCGCGAATTTTTTTTTTAAATCCGCAAATTTTTTTTCTTCTTTGTTTAAAATGTAAACAAAAAGAACATGTTCACAATTTAAATAGAAGATGGGTGCAAAGCGCCCTAACAGCCTAGAAAGAAGGGCGCTAAGTGCCTTGAATTTCTAGTATTATATATTTCTAGTATTATATATTTCTAGTGTATATATATTTAAAGTAAAATTAAAAGATTTAAATTGATAAAAATCAGATAATGCACTTTACTAAATAAATATAATATATTGTGAAACAATTTTACTATAGTTCTGTATATTTAAATTAATAAAAACATACAATCAACCCCTTTTTAATTTTTATAAAGTTAAATTATATTCTGAATTTAACCAAATATATAATAATAAGATGAAAAAGAAAAGTCAGTATTATTTTAATAAAATTAGTTTTGTTTGAGAAATATAATTTAGAATTTGGAAAATACCGTACTTAAATAAATCCATTTAAAAATAAAAATAATAAATTAAAAAGAAGATACTTTTCAAACTTTAATTTGAAAGTATTTAATAGAGACTTAGGCTCGTTTTTCAGGGCGTTTGGTTCCACACAAGTTTCAGAGAAGTTTTAATTTCAAAATTCTATATCCTAAAACTTTTATTATTATATAAATCTTTATTGGTTCTAAGCGATACAACGAAAAATTAACAGTAAATCAAAATCATAGGGTTTCGCATAGAGTACATTATTTATATATTAGAAAACGTATATGTAGTTGAGGATAAAAAAGACACATTTAAATTTTTTATAAATTCGGTTTAAAGCGAAAAACAGAAAAGGACATTTGAGCATAAATAAAATGATCAGCATAAGCGTACAGTTGTAAGCGAGGTAGTTTAAATTTCTGAGATCTAGAGAAAAAATGTGAAACAAGCACATTCAATTAGGACTTTTTCATGTATAAGTGAAAAAAACAAAGCATCAAAATAAACAGAAAACTTTGCTTTATTTGCTTACACAAAGTCAAATTTTGACCCCCAGATAAAATACATTAAAAAACGCAAAGATTAAAAAAAACAAATTTTTCAAATTTCAGCTTTAAATTGTTGGAAGTTTTTAAAATTAAAAAAAACAAGCAAAGTTATATTCAAACACTACAAAAGATAAACTTTTTTGTTGGTTTTATTATATCATGGTTTTTATACCATGATAAAATTTACTTCACGAGAAACTAAGATTTTCATATATTAAAATTGTATTATTTGTAAATTACTCGTAATAGACAGAGGAATTTTGAAAATATTTACTCTCACAAAAAATAACTAACTATTTTTAAAATTATTTAAATCAATGGTTTTGATTAAAATTTTAGTTTAAAGAGGAAGCATACTATACTCAATTAATTCTTGGCATGTGACGAGTTTTAGTATTTTTTATTGGAATTAAATTCTCAAATTATTTGATATTTTTTTAGTTTTGGAGCAGGAAGCTTTAGCTGGTGGCTAATCAACAGTCCCGGCTGCCGGCCACTATACAACACAACATTCGCCGCCGATTTTGTAGTCGACGAGAACGATGTGTCACCGTTTCGTCCGTCAGAGGTTGAGGGCTGTTATGTCCGTTATGAAAAGATCGAAGTGACGCATGCTTCAATTCAGTTGGTTCTTTCCTTGCTCGGTGAGATTTTTTATTTTTAATACACTGTTCCTCGCAAAAGATGAAACTTAAGAGACTACTGTTCGGAATTCCTTTTTCCTTAAATTCATGATTCCTTGAAACTGTAAACTTTTATTTTTCGAATTTGTAAAATCATTAGATAATCCATTTTGAGACAGATAATACTTGAGATTGTCAAAATTGAAGAATTTTAAGTCATTTTTCCACTCTCATCCTTTTTAGGTATTCATGTAGTTGTGGAAAAATCTGCATTTAAGGATATTATATAAATGTAAATATGCATTTAAGGATATTATATAAATGTAAATCTGCATTTAAGGATATTATATAAATGTAAATCTGCGTTTAAGGATATTATAAAATGTAAATCTGCATTTAAGCCTTAAGGATATCATAAAAATGTAAATCTGCATTTAGGAATATTATATATATCTTAAGACTATTTGAAACATCTTTTAACTAGGTTTGTGTAAAACTTGATAAATATTTTTTGATTAAAATATTTTTCAAACTTTGCTAGCAAAGTTTGATACATATTTAAAAATGAAATTTCCAGGAAATGAAAGGGGGGGGGGGTTGACATACAAACAAGACTAGATTTACATATATATCTTTTATACTTTTAGGAGTCGAGGAAGTAAGTATATAAAGGAAATAAGCTTATTGATCTAATTCCTATATTTTTGCAATCTGATTTTGTAAACCTTGGATAACAAAAACTTTGTCAGAATTAATTGTTTGAACTTTTCTATAATATCTGGAAGCAAAGATAAATATAGTTAAAGGAAGAGTAACCAGATTTTTGTTTATTAATTAAAAATGTTTTTTTTTAGGATTTGTTTTATGTATTTTTATAATACATTACTATCTGACAGTTCTAAACCCTAAACTCGAAAAGCAGAAGGTGAAAGCCATGTATTCTATAGAGTACTCTCCACAGAACCATGACAGGTTAGATTAAGATAATAAGTCAACTTTTATACATTTTCTTTTTTTAAATAAACTCGAAAAAGTTTTATCTTTTTTCCTCTTTGATTTGCATAAACAGCAGTTTTTATGTTAGAAGCAGAATAAGTTTCGGAATGAATGTTGGAATACAAACTCTAATATTCTAATGCCATATATCTTTGAATATCTACGATATTTCAAACTTTTACACTAACAGATTTCATTGTTTGAAATTTTTACTTCAAATTCAAATAATTTATATTTTGATTCAGTTTTATACAAAGAAATAAATTCCTTTTTTATAAAATCTAGACAAAGATTTTAGAAAATTGACCTAAATCAAAACTGCTAACCCATTTTCTGATACAACTGTAAATGTTTTAGATTAAAATATATTTTGATTTTTTTTGAATTTTTTCCCGACTGTTTAGTAACCCCAACACACTTGAGCGTGAGACCGACCTCCAGCTGCAGGATGGAGAGGCCAGAGCGCATATGACCCCTAGGCGGGTCAAACGAAGATCATACAGGTAAAATCGCTTTTTAAAATAGTTTTATTAAAAATCATGTATTTGACATAGTTTATTCCACAACAGCCACTGTACTTGGATTAAGTTTGTTTAGCAATTTACTCCTGTTCCTATCGGGTATTCTGCATGCAGTATATCCTTGTTACATCTTTCCAGTAGCGTTCAAACTTCAGTCACGTGCTTTGTGATATTCAGTACCAATAGAAATTTCAACGGTGTTTCCATCTATTTATCGCATCATACAATTAGATGAATCCTGAAATCATTGCTAAACTGTAAAAGGAAATGTGAACAACTGCTTATTTGAATATTAATATTTTATAGAATAATCTGAGCTGAAAACTTTAGAATGGTGGATATCAGGATTAATGCTTAATCCACTCTTTTTCTTAATCTCCAGATTAAATATTGCTAATATTCCTCATGAACTTAATCTCCAGATTAATTAAAAGATCGGGATTAAGGATATCACATTCTAAAGTTTTCAGCTCTGATCATTCAAATTTATTGTTTTTATAATTTAAACAAAAGTATTCTAACTATTATGAACGAAACTATTTTTATATATTTTCAAACTAATTTATTTAAAATATGTATATTCAGGAATTCAACCCGAAACAGTAAAAGCATGAATCGGCAGACCAATCGTCAAAGTGGCCGAAGCGCAAGGTAATACATAAATTATAAACATTATGATAAAAAAAGAATTTTAGATAATTATTTATTAAAATATTATTTTAGATCGAGTGGAAGAAGTCATAAATCGATCAACCCTGTTACTCGATTGATCGACGCGGATCAAAATCGAGCAGACTCTAGCACATCGAATGATGCAGAGAGATATGGACAAATAAACCCGGGTTTCCAGGTCGGCCATTTTTAATTAAAAATCGTATACCTTTTCCGCAGTTTTGACAAAACTTTGACGACGAACTTTTTCCAAATTATTTATAAAATGATAATGGTCAGACTTTGCCTTGCGTTGTACACTCTGTACACTCCATAATTTGACATGGGCTGCACTTCTTTAATATCTTTAGACCTAAAAACTGAAAATATTTACCTGTTGATTGTTAAACTATTAACATGAGCTATCTACTACTTAGAGATTTTCTAAATTTTGGAATTCGATGAATCTTAAAATTTGTTGTTTAGATTTGTTTAATAAATCAAAGTTTGCTACAAAAATAAAATTTTTAATATTTCTCAGATGGATAATAGTCGGCCTAACTCTATTTACAACCTGTCTGGACCTCCGACAGATATAGAAGCGAGCAGGCCGCAAAGTGCTCTCACCTCTTATTCGAACTTCCACGGACAAAGACGACCTGGCGCACAAACAGCTGCTGGACGCGGCAATATTACTAATCTAACACAAGAAAGTCTTCTCAACGTAAGTTTATTGGTTTAAAAGGGACTGTAAACATAAATTTAAATACCCCTAACCTTGAAGAGTCTTATGTCGGATTCTCAACGGTACCCTTTAACCGAATTACCAAGAAAGATATCGTCGTTTTTTGTCTTAAAAAAGAAAACTCAAAAAGACTTCCTTTGAGAAGTCAGACAACATTTTCCACGCTAAGTTACGGGTTTGTTCCAGCCAGCTTTGACTTTTTTATATTAAACATAAATTTGTCGTTTTTTTTTCTAGAATTCTGTTTTGTCGGCGTATGCGCTTAAACTAAAAAGTATAAGAAGACACTGTAGTTTAGATTTATTTTAATTTACCCTTTTGACTGAAATTCAAAGTATTAATTTCATATTTTTGAATTTGTACTTTTTCCCTCATGAAAACTGAATCTAAATTTGAATTACCACTAGTAATATATAAAGTATTGGAATTTTAAAATTCAGGCGTGACCACTTTTCATGACCACAGAGTAAGCACCATATATTTTATAAGATTTCATACAAAAGATACATTTTTAAAACATTTATCTGTTCGACATCATTCGTCACTGCAGGCTTTAAACAAAATTGGGACAAAAAAATTTTCCCTTGAAAACTTTTAGAATTTCTTTTTAAAACCATTTTTCTTTTTCGGCTTTTTACATTGGTTCATCCTGTATTTTCTACAGTTAAACCCTAAATATGCCGTACATGGAAAGCATTCATCAAATGTCGTATTCTTCACTTTCTGATAATGGAATCTTGCAGATATTTAGTGTTTTAATTAAATGATTATATAGAGATCTTTAAAACTGTTCCTGCATGTTCATGGCTATTTATTTATTTTCGCAAACACTGAGATTTACATAAAATAGTTAAAACCCATTGAAAAATTATCAAGGCGACATTTGAATAATTCTTTCGATGTATGGTTCATTTAGGGTTCAACTGTAAATTATAAACTAATTGATAATATTTCAGCATGAACAGGCTGAAAACACGAATATGAACATGAACGCTAGTTATGATAGTTTGCCACCTCCCCCACCCCCTCTCTCCTCCTCCCCCACTCCCCAGGTTATTGTTATATTTAGTTTATTTCATATGTTTTCATGATGTTTTAAACATTCAGGGCTACTTTAAATCTAATAAGTTCATGCATTTTTTGTTTGTTTTAACTATCGTAATGTCTATCTTCTTGAGAAGAAAGAAATTGATTACTCGCCACAAGCTCTAATTAACAAGTCCCTAAATCTTTTCAACCTGATGACGGTATAAACCATTTATTTTTCAAACTTAAATTATTTTTTTCTAATTGAGTTTATGGTTGAAATATTGAAGGTTGAAGAAGTTAATAAGGCTATGTAATACATATATATGTTAATCGAGACTGCTATGGAAACTTGAATCAATTTTCAAGATTGGGTCGAATCTAAAGTATCACATTGTCTTGACCTTTAATTTCACCTCACACCATTTTTGTAGCTCTAGACAATTTCATTTTAGATAAAGCACTTTCCATTAGTTATAAGAAGTATTTGGCAAAACTTTCATTGATTTTTCCGTTGGAGCTTGCAACCGTTGGGTCACTGTGAATAAGTTCATTTGCTTACTTTTTGAAATGTAAATATATATTTGTTGAAGGATGATGGTATTTATGAGAGTGATAATACAAGTTCTATAGCAACAGCTCAGCTCCCTGTCCCCCAGACTAGATCTAGTATACGAAGAAATGAATATGTAAATATACCATTGAAACAGGTAAAAACTACAAATATCTGAAATAAAAAAAACGTTATTTGGAATAAAAACTTAAGAAATATTATTGATAATGAAATTTTCCAAGAATTATAAATTGTGATTTTTAGACTTTGCTTTTTGGAACTAATATTAGGAAACAATTGTAAATGGATCTTTTTTATATTTAAAAACCAGATTAGCACAGACAAATTGTTTGAAATTATTGCTTTGGAGTCATTTCTACTTCACTTTTTCTTAAACTGTGTACCTAGTAATCGTTAAGACCTTAAATAATATGTACTTTGAAAACAAATTTTAACATTAAAATGAAAAACTAAATGGCAACTTTTTGTTCGATTTCTCTTATTCTTAAATTATTCTTAGGATCCAGGCACACAGAGTTACCAGGAGCCTGAACCTCAGAGCCCTGTATTAACCTCGCCACCATCCTCCACAGCATATTCTCAACCTCCGGTCTCCAATCCTCAGCACAGCTATGCAAATATGCCAACAGATTCAAGGTTAGAATTATAAATATTACATTTTATAAGATTATTATTATCATACTTTTCATTAATATTTAATTTTTATTCTTATTAATATTTTGGTATTATTTTATTATCATTATAATTACTATTATTATTATTATTATTATTATTATTATTATTATTATTATTATTATTATTATTATTATTATTATTATTATTATAATTATTATTATAGATCTGGAAATATGTATGGTGGGGCTAGGCCCCGACCCAGTAATCCTCTGTACTCCGACTATACCCTGGAGATGGAAACCTCAAGGTATAAAAATATACACTAAATACAGCGGAACCATATCGTCCTCGTTTTTTCATTTAATTTTATAAACCTTTTAATTTCTATCTGATATCATTATCAACTGAATATATAAGTTATACATTGAAGAGGAACATATTGAATAAAAAGCGTCAAAATACGCAGTTATTTTACCTTTTAACAGTGATGTTCATCACTTATCCTTTTATAAAGATAAACTGCTTCGGATTTTTTATTTGTATCTAAAGCTGAATTCTATGTTAAAAATTGGGAACAAAAATCAGATTGGTTATCACATTAATAATTACCTTTTGGTGGTTTTTAAAATATAAAATCATTTGGCTCTGAAATGAATTTCCTCTTAATCATATGAATAAATAAAGGGACTGTAAGCGTAATTTCAAGTGACCCTTCATGCAAAGATGTCAATGCCCGATTTACAACTGTACAATTGAAACCTTAATCTGCTCAAAAATGTGAAAGATTTTGTTGGTTTTCCGACCAAAAAGTGTTAATTTATGTGAAGTTCTCCATTGTTTCCTATAAGTTATAAGCAAGAAATGCGCAAGTCACTTTCGTCGAGAAACCGCAAATGAAAATAAACAGTTTAAAGAAACAAAGCAATGGATATCTAATTTATACAAAGGTTTTAAGGGTGCCTTTGTAAATAGGACACTCTGTGCAAGGTGTGTCACTTGAAATTATAATTCCCGTTAAGACTAAAATTTAAAGAAACTAGAAATTCAAGGCGCTTCGCGCCCTTCTTTCTAGGCTTTTAGGGCGCTTCGCGCCCATCTTCTATTTAAATTGTGAACATGTTTTTTTGTTTACATTTTAAAACAAAGAAGAAAAATTTTTTTCGGATTTTCAAGAATTTTTTTTTTTTATAAAATTAAAAACCTTTAAAACACATTTTTTTAAATTTTTATCATTCATAAACCTTGTCTGTGGTCACGTGATGTCCCACAAAAAAATTGGGCCCGATCGGTTCAGTCGTTTTGACGTCTATATTATACAAACAAACAAACAGACACGCTAGACAAGCAAAATTTATAAATGTATTTAACCGATATATTCTAGGTATTCTGAGTTGGATCGGTCAGCTGGGCAAACTCTTAGTTACGAGGCAGAAACATTGCGGGCAGATACAAAACTTGTACAGCCAGGTAATACAGTGGTCGGCGTTTAAATCATTTCATTGAAGACGACTTTTCTATTAAATTTTGTTTATTATATACAATCTTTTTCATACTACAAGTTTACAAGATAACAGCTTCTCTTTGGTTCCATGTCTATATGTGTATTGTGTATCCATGTACATTTGAAGGCTTGTAGAAATCCAAAAGTAAAATCTGAAGTCGTCTTCATTGTATTGATATATACGCGACGACAACGGTAGATGAATTAAAAGATAAGAAAACAAATTGAATTAGAAAATATAACTTAACAAAAAGTTTAAAAATAAATACCCACTACTTATAACGTATAGTGACTATTGACTCACCGACCAAAAGAAAGTAAAAAAAAATAGAATATAATAAGATAATTAAATAAATAAGTAAAAAAACAAATAAATAACTGAATATCCTAAAGTTGTCTGATCCAGGACTGTACAATGAACCCTACTCCCTGTCTGATGTCCCCTCCCAGAGAAGTTCTCAGAGTGAACCTAATCCTCCCCCACCTACCTTCTACAACCAAATCTCTGGTCAGTAACGCAGCATAATTAGGCTCTCCAGCGAAATCGAATGTTTGCAATTTTTTTGCGAAATGTCTCATATTTTTTCCCGCGAAGTTCATTTTCGCAAAAACATGCAAAATTTCGCTAAACTTTTTGCGAAATACGAAAGAAAATAATTTCGGATTTTTTTGCGAAAGCCTTCGTTCGCTGGAAACCCTACAAAATACACATGATTGTTGAAAAACTTTAATGCTTTATAAATTTTAGATCTTTTAATACTACGCAACTTCTAATATTTTATTTAATTTAATTTTTAATTTAGAAAACCAATATGGTCAAAAACCTCTTCCCCAGTCTCCGAGAGGTCAGATTAATGTTCATAGAGGTCAAAGAGGTCAGCAATCTGAAATAAGAGGTCTGCATACAGAAATTAACTCCGGAGGTCATCATAGACCAAATAATTCAGAACAGTTTGTAGGCTCTAGAAATAATTACAACGAGCAAAATGGATTCAAAGGGGGCAGAAGCCAGGGCCCCCCTCCCCCTGAGCGTAGGGCCGCTGAGAAAGCCCCTGAAGAACCCTATGACCCCCTAAGATATGATCATGACTCTGGGCTGCAATCCATGAATTCTGAATTCAATTCTCACACCAGCCACCAGGGGATCGAGGGGAAAGAAGGCAGACAGAGCATGCGCAGAGTTCCCAATGGCCATGCTGCGCGGGACCGTGTTTCTTTGCGAATGAAACAGCGGCGTGATATGGAAAATAAAGCAGCAAAACCAAAAAATGACCAAAATCAAGGTAAAAGAAAATTACTTCTAGTGACAAATTAAAATTTTTTTTATTATTATTATTTAAATAAATTTATATTTAAATATGTTAAGGACAAGCCGGCTTTACCAACGGTTATGACGACTATGGCTATTCTAAAAACGGACCTTCCTCACTTCAGAATGGACACTTAACAGGACCTGGGTCAAATGGTCCTAGTTCAATGCCAAATGGAGGACTAAACGGGCATTTAGAGGACAGTGAGGACAAGTGGTATATGAAGGACAGCATGCGTCCTGTTGGTGCGTCCGCCCACGGTTTATCGTGCAAATGCTACCGATGCCAGCGGAAGCTGACAGCTATTTGATTTTTGCCAGCGGAACGTTTAGTGAAATTAAACAAATTAGACAATTAAAGTTTTATCTGCAATGACAGTGCATGCTTTAACTGGCATTGTAAACAAGCTATGTCAGAAATCTTAGCCACAGTTATAAATCTATAGTGACGAAATCTATAGTGACGTTATAAATCTATAGTGACTCAGCAATCAAAGTTGTGTCGTCTTTAAAGCTATGATCGATTAGCTATCGTAATTTTTGTATTTTATGGTTCTTTACCTGATTAATAAACTTCACTTTTTTTGTGAAGCATTAAACACCAAAGCAAAAAAGGTCTTCTGATTTTCTCGATATTGTATATTAGTTTTCAAGAATCTTAAATTTCTTGAATTTACAAAAACGCGAAATCATTTTGTAAGCTACAGGGTGTCCCAAAAAACATGGGAATTCAGTGACGAATTCGATATCGTCTTTATGAATAATTCTTTGATTTAGTATAGTGATACCAACTGAGAAAGCTGTAATCTGTAAGAGTTTCGTCTGCTATGTTTACATTTTGTTTGTTTATGTTTTGACTGCAACCGGTTGTACTTAGTAAAACAAGAAAATTACAGTATACAAACAGAGTAAACGTGTCCATATTCACTGTTCATCTTGCGGAGACATTATAGACACATCTTTTCAGCCTTTTCATTAAATAAACTCTAGCAGACATAATAGTATTATGGCTTTTGAAATTAGGTATTACAATGCTAATTCATAACAAAGACGATATCGAATTCGTCACTGAATTCCCATGTTTTTTGGGACACCCTGTAGATAAATACATAAACAGCCGGCGACAAAAAAATCTTGAATGACTTTTTCCCCTGAATTGATTTGCATTTTTTTTTCTGTTAGAATTTGAAATTTTGGTTAAAAAGTTTAATATCACTGGCTGTATGTTCTAATATAATGCATTTGATTTTTATGAAGATACAATCCTTTTTGTAATGTAAATATGTTAATATTAATGAAATGTGTTAGTCAATAAATTTTTATAAAAATTACAAATGCCCGTTTTAGACAAAAATTTGTACAAATTTGATGATTTTTTATTACTGTTTGCAATAGGCAAATCATTAGCAGAATTTTGTAGTTTTATCTTTAGTGCTTCAATTAGTCAAATAATAAAGTTAAAATAAATAGTTTTTTTTATTTCACGGGCAACACCGGACACATTAGCTAGTATAAAATAAATAGTTTTTTTTATTAACTTGAATAAGAAAGTAAACCGAAAAAAGATCAATTATTTTAGTTGTCTTATTGATATACTTCCAATGTGTTTAGGTTACAATCAAATATATAAATCAGAAGTCAAAACTTATAATCAAGCCCACATTGGATATCGAGATCTAGCGATTAACAATGTTCACACATAAAATCCGATCTCTGTTTAAATTACAGACTCGTTAGTTACATTTCGTTGTATAATAACTATAACACTGTTATTTTGGTTCGCAGTGTTATAAAGTTTTTGGACAAACATCTTCTCTTTATCAAGAAGGTTCAAGACTTTTTTAGATTTAATTTTAATATAATATATAATCTTAAATCCAAAACCTTTGAAATAAATTTAAGTCTATTAAAACTGTGTAGAATGTCTTGCAAAAATTATGGTGTTATAGGTAATTTTATGAAACGTTTGTGTACTTGTCAATTATTGCAATGGCTATTTCTAGATCAAAAAAGCTTTGTAACAAAGCGAAAGTCAAAATTTAACGTTGATTTCAATTTTATTTTCGTTTCAATAGAGAGAAATATTTTGGAAATATTCTAAATTTTTTGAAAAAAATCCTGGAACCAATCAAAACTTTTTAGCACACGTGCTATAATGTACAGCTTACATAAGATTATAGCACGATGATTACATTATAGCACGTTCATTATGAAATTTACGATCAAGTAAGTAATACTGATAAAGTACAGGGTGTCCCAATAAACATGGGAATTCAGTGACGAATTCGATATCGTCTATTAAAATAATTTTTTTATTAAGTATAGTGATACCTACTGAGAAAGCTGTAATCTGCAAGAGTTTCGTCTGCTATGTTCACATTTTGTTTGTTTATTTTTTGACTGCATAAGGGTGTACTTAGTAAAACAAGAAAATTGCAGTATGTTTGTTTTCAGTTCTCTTATCAAGTCAAGTTTAGATTAAATATTAGAACATTGCTCAGACGAGACAAGATACATTTAACACAGATATGCAGACAGCTGTAGAAATTGTGAATAAACTTTTAAGACCGGGTCCACACCTTGGACCTATTTGTACCTATGAATCTCCAGTGCGATTGTTATTAGTATACTGTTTAAATGGTCTGTTAGTGTAATTTCAAGTGACCCTCCATGCAAAGATGGTAATGCCCTATTTACTTAATGCTTCCTTTGAACAATGTTGTCTGATCAATAGAACTCCATGTTTTTGTATTTAAAAACTGGTTTATTTTCGATTGTGGGTTCTTTTTTGGCAAAAATGACTACCGCTTTCCTTGCCTTTAAGAGAGACTGAACAAATTATCAGGATTCAATACTTTCGAATTAGAAATAAATTTTTTTTTATCAGATAAGGGTACCGTTGTAAATCGTACATTGCCATCTTTGCATGGAGGGTCACTTGAAATTTGCGCTTACTGTCCCTTTAAAAGGAGAATACAGTTAAAATCGAATATGTTTTGAAAACGTGTAATATAGGTTCACTTTAATGTGTATAGATCAGGCTCAATGTATATCCCCACACCATAATAAATTGTATGTCAGAATTAAATTATAACGTTAATTGAAGAGCTATCGAAAAGAACAAAAATGTGTTGAATGTTTAATATGTCATTCCGGATAAATATGATTTTTCAAACTTTTGCCGAAAAAAAAACCAGACGAGCTACAGCCTATAATGTCACAAAGTCGTACCAGTGATGTCTTAAACATTTTACCTTCTCCTTCTTTCTAGTTTGCAGTGAGAAAACAATTATTTTTAAATTAAAGTGTTTTAAGATATTTCAGACTATTTACAGCTCTCCGACAGACGATAGATGATGGTGAAGGGAGGAGCAGTATGCCAAACTTAGTAACACTATTATATTATTTTTGGGTAATATCAAATACGTAATTGTTGGAGAATAGAATTACATGTTTGGTTTAAAATATAGAACTCTGGGTGAAGTCGAATAATATGGTTAATTTTTTTGGGCAATACAATTAAATTTAAGTACGCGAAATACTAATAAATTTAAGTAAGCTAAATACAAATAAATTTAAATAAGCTAAATACAAATAAGTTTAAGTAAGTTAAATATAAATATTGTGCACTGCATTCCAATTTTTGTAGTGTAAGAGAATTTTTGTCTAGAGTAATGAAATGCTATTTTTGGAGTAACAATTAGAACTTTTTTGGTAAACAAATTTGAATTGTTCGAGAAATGCAATTTTAGGGTTAAAAATACATTGCTCATGGATAATAAAATTCTATTTTACGGTGAGAATTCTGTTTTTGAGGTGATAGTAAATGCATTTCTCGGGTGGAAGATAAGATATTCTGTTAAATAAATTACAATTTTAATAAATAAATTTGACTAATTGGGGTAATAAAATACGTTTAAGGGCAATCGAATGCAGTTTTTGAAGTAAGAATACAGTTTTGAATAACATAAAAACAATTTATGGGTGATAATACAATACAATGGTTAAAAGCAAAATTTCATAATTTGATATAAAATACTATTTCATGTGAATGAACCAATATAATTTTGGTAAACATATAATTTTGGAAAGTAAAATGTTTTTTAGTTACGTAATTATTTTTTGTAATAAAACACAATTTTAGGGTTCCAGTACAATTTCAGGGTTCCAATACAATTGTAGGGTTCCGTTCAGGTTGAGGGTTCCAGTACAGTTTTAGGGTTCCAATACAATTTTAGGGTTCCGTTCAGGTTGAGGGTTCCAGTACAGTTTTAGAGTTCCAGTACAATTTTAGGGTTCCGTTCAGGTTGAGGGTTCCAGTACAGTTTTAGGGTTCCAGTACAATTTTAGGGTTCCGTTCCGGTTGAGGGTTCCAGTACAGTTTTAGGGTTCCAGTACAATTTTAGGGTTCCGTTCAGGTTGAGGGTTCCAGTACAGTTTTAGGGTTCCAGTACAATTTTAGGGTTTCAGTACAAATTAAGGGTTTCAAAACAATTTCAGGGTTCCAGTACAAATCTTAAGAAATAGGTTAAGTATTAAAGTAATAAATACTGTTAAATCATACGTACAAAGATTTTGTAAAAGACTTACTTTGGAAATGGAAGAAAAATTCAATGACAGTTCTATGATTAAAATATATAAAATCATGAGAATATTTCAGATGCTTTATAATAATCACATGTGTCACGTGTGATGTGTTGAATATACATGTTTAAGGGGAATAGATGTAATTTCAAGCTATCCTCCAATTATGGAGTGTCATTTAAATATTTGTCTCATCCTTATTTTTCTAGCTTAAAATAGACGTTTTTCAATTTTTTTCTCTGAAAAAGTGAAAAATTGTAAGAATTAATACTTGTTAAGATAGAAAAATGAGTAATTGTTAAATAAATAGAGTTTTTAAGGATACGTTAAAAAGAAGGATAACATGAAATTACGTTTACAATCCTAAATTAAAACATATTTTTACATTAAATTCTAAAATTATTTATATTTTAGAAATTGTTTCTGTCTTCGGCGATGGAGATCTTAAAGGAAATTCAGATCCAAAGCATGGCGTTTGTTTTTACAGGTAAAATATTAATATCCAACCCAGGCCAATAAAGTTAGGATTTGGAACCACTTTATTGTCTTGACTGACCAATTAACTATCCCGGCTGAATCTAAAGCAAAAATATTCCAATATGTCTATAAATAAACGCACGTAATGATTAATGAATATGCCTAAATTTTCATAATAAATTTTTCTGCTCGAGCAGGTTTATCAATCAGTAAATATTTTGTCCCATAGTATGTTAAAAATTAAAGTTTTATCAAATTCAGATATGTTTTTTTATTGTACTACAAATCTTTTCATTTCAAAATAGGAATTGAAAATGGCAATTATTCTGCTAAGGTTTTTAGTGGGCATCACATGTGCTTGATTTTGCATTATAAAGTTGAAAAGACGAAAATCAAAAAATTCAAATTTACAGGATAATTTTTCAGGGCTCAGAATGGCGGGAAACATTCCAAAGGTTAGGTTTTGATAAGAATATGATGAACTGAATATTGCTTCAATTTTAATTTGATAATTTTGATGATTAATTATATAAATATATTTACAAGAATATTCACATATTATTTAAAAATTTTCAAGAGCGCGTTCGTTTGTGATAAAACATTTGCCTAGCACTAAAATATTCTTAAAACTTTGAACCTGATCTCACGTACTTTCATTATTTGCATTATGAACTCTAGAAGATCAAAAAATCAAAGTATTAAATATCAATAGTAGCAGTAAGCTACAGAGCAAAAATGTATATATTTAAAAAGCCCTTAAAAAATGGATGTAGAAACATGTGTCACATGTTAATATTTGTCAAAAATAAAGATATTTATTCTTGAACATTTTTCCGACGTACTTTTTGAACTTTTGATAAATCCTCCCTGACATCCTAACCAGATAGGGGTCTAATTATTTTATGACAGGCCCCGGTCTCAACTCTATGGGCAAAATCATAGGGGGGGGGCGTGGAAAATATCCCCCTCCCATTCATATTAGACTAAAATTTGCCCAATCGGGATAGGGTTAATTGTCTCTTAATTCCTACGTTTTGTTGGGACACCCTTTATCTAGATTCTAAGACCTGGGAGCAGTGTTGAAATGAAACTAAGGGAGCATCCTCCTGATTGTTTATCAGATCCTATGCTGGGTAGACATCTATACCTTAAAATAAAGGTAAAATCACATAGATCCACAATGATATGAAAATTTGCATCAAAGTTTAAGATTGGGTCGAATTTAATGTGTCGTCTTTGTTTTTTAACTTTCGAACTCACTTATACTTTTGTGTAGCCTTTGACATTAAGATTTTAAGAAGTAATTAGCAAAATTTATAGATTTTTGAGTGAGACTGTCGCCTTGGGTTACTTTTGTATGGAGGGGGGGGGGGAGTTTTAGTTGTTTCTAGAAAGATAATTTGAAAAAACTTTTTTGCGTATAAATCTTACTAAATGATTTGAAAATAATTGAACAAGCATACGATAAAAATTAAGTTGAAATATATGTAGGAAATATTTAATAAAAAGAAAAATTTTGAATTTCCGTTTGTGGCATATGAGAGCACTCAAATGTTAAATATTCGGAGAACACCAAAATCGGTTTTCCATCAAACTTCTTGAAAAATGAAAAGACTATTTAAATATTAAGAATAGGAAAAAGAAAAAAATTATAATTTATTGTTTAGGGCACAAAGTATCACTATGTTGAATCAGGTAAAGTTAAGAAATTTACAAAAATTAAAGTATGAAAATAATTTTGGTGTAAATTGTAAAATTAAAAACGGAAAATTAAAAAATTTTTTTTTTCAAATCTTCGACCCTACCTTAATCCTAACATCCATGAGGTCATTTGAGTTAACACAAAATCTATTTAGTCGTTTTGGCTATACTTATATCCAAATTTGATGTGGGACCTGACATGACCCATGAGAAGGTTTATGGGTTTGGGTGGTCGAAAATAAAACAATCAAAACTATAATTTATTTTGAAAATCCACAAATAAAAACTAGAAATACGCTTAAATGTTTTGTTTGATGATGTGCAAACTAAAATGAAAATGGCATAGAATGATAGAAACAGGGAGTAAGGAAAAGAAGGGAGATATAACTGACGCAGTTTGCCCTAACATATGATTATACATGCTTTGCAGACGGTACTTCATAAGAAATAATTGTCTGATGTACATTTACTGCGTATACAATAACCTATTCTAGACATTTCATATTCAAATGAAGTACTGTCATTACTGCAAAAAGGAAAGATAAAAAATGTCGAAGCTGTAAAAAAAGTGAGATTAATTCTGCGACTTTAGTGTTCTATTAAAAACATTATTTTTTTATTCATTTTTTTAAATACTGATAAACAAACTGCGATTCACACTAGCTGCGTAGGTGTCTGATTGCCTTCATGCAATTGACAATTAGAAATTGAGTTAATTTTGTAATTAATCTTTTGATTTGAAAGAAAGTATAACTTTTAAAAAGGATCTTATTTTTATTTAAAGATTATTATTAATATTATATGAAGTAGAAGGGATGATATGATCCTTTGCTTTTTTTGATTTCTCGGATTTCTAATTTTATGATCAATATTAATATAGGAAGTAGGAGACATGATATGATCCTTTGCTTTTTTTGATTTCTCGGATTTCTAATTTTATGATCAATATTAATAGGAAGTAGGAGACATGATATGATCCTTTGTCATGATATGATTTCTCTAATTTCTGATTTTATGATCAATATTAATAGGAAGCAGGAGAAATGATATGATCCCTTGTCATCATGATTTCTCTGATTTCTGATTTTATGATCAATATTGACAGGAAGTAGGAGACATGATATGATCCTTTGTCATCATGGTTTCTCGGATTTCTGATTTTATGATCAATATTGACAGGAAGTAGGAGACATGATATGATCCTTTGTCTTCATGATTTCTCCGATTTCTGGTATGGTTGGAGAAAACAACTCAGAGGACTTTCAGGTAACACCCCCCCATTCCACAGACCCCCCCCCCCTCAGGAGAGGAGCGGGAATCAAATCTACGAACAATTTCTATAAAAGGACTGCATAAGTTATTTCAACCTATCCGCAGTTTTTAGAGTGACATTCTAGATTCACAACGGTACTCTCTGCATGCTGATTGAGATATCCTTATTTTACTGAAATTTTAATTTCACTTTCCTAGAAAAAACACTTATGGATTTTTGACAATTGAGAAAATGGTCAGATTTCAACACGTTTAACCCTATCCCTGCTGGGGTACTTGAAAACCAGGATATGCTGGGGGGGGGGGGTCAATTTGACCCCCTCTAAATCCCATGTTTGATGTCCAAATATGACAAATGATACATCATTAGAAAGCTCTTGTGCTCTACTTTTAGAATCTGCATTATATAAGTTAGGTTTAAATATGACAATATCTTCCTCATATATAAATTAGGTTTAAATATGACAATATCTTTCTCCTATATAAGTTAGGTTTAAAGATAACAATATCTTCCTCATATATAAATTAGGCTTAAATATGACAATACCATCCTCATATATAAGTTAGATTTAAAGATGACAATATCTTCCTCATATATGAGTTAGGTTTAAATATGAAAATATCTTCCTCATATATAAGTTAGGTTTAAAGATGACAATATCTTCCTCCTACATAAGTTAGGTTTAAAGATGACAATATCTTCCTCTATATAAGTTAGGTTTAAATATGACAATATCTTCCTCAACTATAAGTTAGGTTTAAAGATGACACTATCTTCCTCATGTATAAGTTAGGTTTAAAGATGACACTATCTTCCTCATATATAAGTTAGGTTTAAAGATGACAATATCTTCCTCCTATATAAGTTAGGTTTAAAGATAACAATATCTTCTTCATATATAAGTTAGGTTTAAATATGACACTATCTTCCTCATATATAAGTTAGGTTTAAAGATGACAATATCTTCCTCCTATGTAAGTTAGGTTTAAAGATGACAATATCTTCCTCATATATAAGTTAGGTTTAAATATTACAATATCTTCCTCATATATAAGTTAGGTTTAAAGATGACAATATCTTCCTCCTATGTAAGTTAGGTTTAAAGATGACAATATCTTCCTCATATATAAGTTAGGTTTAAATATTACAATATCTTCCTCATATATAAGTTAGGTTTAAAGATGACAATATCTTCCTCATATATAAGTTAGGTTTAAATATTACAATATCTTCCTCATATATAAGTTAGAGTTAAAGATGACAATATCTTCCTCATGTATAAGTTTAAAGATGACAATATCTTCCTCATGTATAAGTTAGGTTTAAAGATGACACTATCTTCCTCCTATATAAGTAAGGTTTAAATATTACAATATCTTCCTCATATATAAGTTAGGTTTAAATATGACAATATCTTCCTCATATATAAGTAAGGTTTAAAGAGTGCTGGTGTGAATCTGACATGGTACTCTTTATATTGAGAACTATTGAAATCACGTGTACAGTCTCTTTAAACAATTATTCTAATAATTATGCATATATTTGAATGTATTGGTATTATAGTAGTAGGTCTAAGTGTTGGTGCAAAGCGTGCTCAGACAATTAAAACAAGAAAATTGTGGACAAGGAAGACGACATTATTCAAGTATATTTGATGGCATTAAAAGTCATGTCGTTTATAGTAAGTAATTTAATTACTTATTAAGTCAAATGGGTATAATTGCATAATTGCTTTGCTTGATGTTCATTGGACTATTTAAAAGTCATGACTTAAGTCGAAATGTCGTATTCATGTTTCAGAGTTTTCTGGTTTTCACTGTAAGTAAGTTTTAAACCAGCACATTAAATATGCATTTTCTAAGAAAATCTGTATCAGGTTCTTATTGGGTGGTTGCTCCAGATTTAAAAGGGTTTGGAGACAGTGAAAAACCTTTCCTAGCAACAAATTATAAAGATGACGTCATCCTTGAGGTAAAACCCTTTCTTAGTTCCATGCTATAGTCAAAATTCATCTAAAACTCTTATTTTCTATTCCCTATATTTACGAACCATATTTTATTGATCTTTGATAATACAAACTATGAACTAACTAATCGATAGCCAAAAATGTAAAACTCTTGCAAAAATGCAAGGATAAGAAAACTAGACTTTAAAGCGAATGCAAAGCGCTTTTTATTGCACTTCAGTACTTGAATAACGAAAGAAATCTTTTAAGATCATTGAACCATCCGTACTTTACTTAATAAATAAATATTGTTCAGAAACTTAATACATCTGCAGTTACTAGTCTGGTAAATTTCTCAATAAATGCTGTTTCATGCTTCAGATTAAGACTTTTCTTCAAATTAAATTTTCGCGACTTTTTTGCTGAAATTGAATTTTGATTTTTGAAATTTCAGGAGCTGCGTCTGTTCATAGAAATCCTCCAAGACTCCTCCGAGAGAAAGGTCGTCATTATCGGACACGGGCTAGGAAACTTTTAAATAGTATTATTACAACATAAATGGACAAATATTATATATAATACAGTGCTTCACTCATATATATATGTTAGCTAAGATGGCCAAACGGCTAGACCAAATAGACTGACATTTGTTAATAGAACCCATGATTTAAAACCAAGAGCGGGTAAACAGTGGTTGAAGAGTAACTGAAGCTTATAATATCAGCCTGTTAAACGGCGGGTAATCCATGGCAAGTACTCGTATAATTTAATTTCTTACTCTCGAAATTTCGATTTAAAGTTTAAAATGACAATAGGAGGTCATATTGCTTGGAAGCTATTAGAACGATATCCTAACTTGTTTTCAAAGGTAATGTACAGCCTAAGATTACATACAAAGAATGTATAATTTACTCTCAGACTATTAGTATCAATGGAAATTTAAACCCATGAGATATTCAATCGTAAACCCGAGTGCGCATATATAAAAAGCTGGTTTTTTGGTATGAAACAATTTTCATTTAATCCCGCACCTTTTAAAAAGAATAATAAATAGCAAAAATAATTTGTTATTTTTTACAAAGGATTCATACATACATAGTTCATTCATTCATTGATTCTAATTTGTCTGAGAGTAAATGACATTTCTTTGTAAAAAAAAATAACAAATTATTTTTATTATTTATTATTATTTTTAAAAGGGGCGGGATTAAATGAAAATTATTGCATACCAAAAAACCAGATTTTTATAAAGGAATGAGACTTCATATAGATTGCAGACTTTTTTGTTCATTCATGGATCTCTGAAGTTGTAACTTGTAAGCTAATTTTCCAAAGAACATAAAAAAAAACTCTGTGGAACGATGGTTAAAGTTTTTAGTCGTCAGAAGGTTTAATCTTTTCCGGGTAACCCTGCAGACATCCTAAAAGAACTAAAAGAATTTTGTTCAGATTTCAGCAATTTTGATTTTATTTAATAAATTGAAGTATGAATGAAATTCTGAATATTTTCGGTAATATTGACAGCATGAAAAAGGCAGACCACATTTTGGAAATGCCAGAAATAGGGGACTGTTTGATATTTGTTTCAAGAATTATTGCATGTAATCTAGGTTGACGAACGAACGCCGCAAATAATTTCAAAGATTTAAGACGACCTTCAAGTCTGAATTTCGAGTAGATTTGGCAATATATCAATTTTTCCTGACAACATTTTCTTCGATACAAATGATAAAGGAATCAAATTCATTTTTAAATAAAGGTTAAACATCCCTTTAAATAGTTTGTGTCTATCTCTACCCCGCATCCTAATGTTTGGTTGAAGAATATGATGAAATCATGGAGAAGTGTTTTCGAAAACAGGTAAATTTTTTTACTATCCTAGATTCATTCGAAATTGCTAGTTGATATCGGCGTCATAAAAGAAGTTGTTGAACGTGTCATGACTAGTTCAACTTCCTCGCCTCGCTCTTGTTAATTAAATCCGACCGAATTCTTATTAATAATCCACTCAAAGCTAGAGGGTTTGACATCATAATTTGATAGACCCTCCATTAATTCTTAACGGTTCCCTTAATAGACCACCTCTAACAAGGGGGAAGGTATCATCAGTTTTCTTTCTCGGAAAGAGATAAAATAGCAATTTGAATACTGCTATTAAAAATTTCCCTATTTGGACAGAAGAAAGGATATTTCCATTTATTATATACTGGGTAACAATGTCAATCAGCTATTAAACTCTGTAAGTGGATTGTCCCTTTAAACTACGTTGATAGTCCCTTTAAACTACTTTATTTCAAGGTGGTTTTATGAGTGCAGAGTTCCTTTCCTCCCAGAACGAGCTCTGCTAGGAAACTAAGAACAATTTTACATTTTTTTCATAATTTTACTTTTTTTTCTTCAAAATTTTGCATTTTTTTTCTTTACAATTGAACATTTATTTTCAAATCAATTGATCAATATTTTCTTTGAAACAATGTACAGATATTTATGGTTATCAATTACTTTTTAAAAGAAATTTTGAGCAATTTTGATTTTTCCTCGGAAAACTTTGCGGCACAATTGCTTTTTTTGTAAGAGGCATCATATCATATTAATTTTCTTTAACTTAAAACACATACATTTCTTAAATCTCTAATTGTCTATTTTTGAAACTATTTTATTGATTAGATTGATACTCCATACTGATACTCCATTGCTAATTCTAAATCAATTGTCCTTTTTTATATCACACATAATTGGAATTTGGTATTTACAACTTTCATATTTTTAAATATATATAATTGGTAACCTTTCTTTGTGGTAAAATTAATTTAATTATATCACAATTTTAAACAAAATGCAGTTATCAATAAAGGAATTGAGTTTTTGCCACAAACTCAAATTTTCTAATCCCTTTATCTTTACAACCTGACAGGGTAAACCTTTGATATTTTAAATTTAGACTATTTGATCTAACAGTGGCCGAATTTAAAGAATTTGAGCGGCGGTTTAAATTTAAGCCGCGGCTTAAATATGGTTGGTTCCACTTAAAATTGTATCAAATGTTTTAAGATTTAAGCCGGCGCTTAATTTAAACCGGGTTTTGGCAGATTTAAACCGCGGCTCAAATTCTTTAAATTCCATCTCTGAATGAATATTTAAAAAGAAATTTAAGATAAAGGGATTAGAAAAAGAATATCAGAGTTTTAGATTAAATTAGTTAATTGTTTGATACATTTTTTGTTCTTCTATTTTGTAGGTAACGATTTGGAAGTTATTGATAAAAGGTGATTTTAGTCATTTTTTTTTCTTAGAATTTATTATTTAGCATTGAGACACCAAAACTAAAGAATTGAGTCTGTCACAAATTCTGATATTTTTATTCCAATCCCTTTATCTTTGCATTTTAGATTTTTCAATCATATGTAATCTAGGTTTGAAATATCAAAGGTGATTACACCATCAAGTTGCAGATGATAAAGGGATTAGACGTTTTGAGTTTGTGGGTAAGACTCAATTCCTTTCCGTTGTATTGTTTTATTGGTTGATTTTATGATCATTATAATTTTTTACAAACCAATTTGTCAACTTATATATATATATAAGTTGACATATAGTATGCATATAGTATACATATATATATATATATTTATATCTAAGTTGATAAATAGTATACATAAATATATATATATATATGATTGTTAAAGGTTTAAGAAGTCGGGCAGTGTAATGGATTTATCTTCTTATTCAAACTTTGACAAGGTAAAAAAGTGTGTGCTATGTTCTACTAGGCTGTACTAGGTTATGCTTGGTTGTGCTAGGTTGCGCTAGGTTGTGCTAGGTTGTGATAGGTTGTACTAGGTTGTGCTAGGTTGTTCTAGGTTGTGCTAGGCTGTGATTGGTTGCGCTAGGTTGTAGAGATGTCAACGTTTTGATTTTTCTAGATTTTAGCTTTCGTTATGATAGTGCTCATTAAAAGTATAAACGTTTAAAACGTTACGCTGCACATTATGAAATTTTATTGCACAGAGTAACGTTACGTAATGAATTTTCTGCACTTGAATACCTTATACAACGTTAAGCTTTAGTAAATGTTGTGAAAAAACAGTAAGCTCCGTTACACTTTTGAGGGAGTGACAGCAATTATCAAAAATGTCAAAAATAGGAATTTCCCAAATGCCTGGGTATCTAGGAAATTTCCCAAATGCCTAGGTAGCTGGGAAATTTCTCAAATGCCTGGGTATCTGGGAAATTTCCCAAATGCCTGGGTATCTGTGAAATTTCTCAAGTACCCAGGCATTTGAGAAATTTCCAAAATCTTAAAAATATNAGTCTAACGTTTTATGAACAACATTTTCATCAGACATATATCTAACGTTAGACTTATCAATTTAGTATTCAGAGAAAAGTTATGAAACGTTTTGATTTACAGAATAACATTTTTTTATACGTTACATTATTGGAATTTTACTCTGTAAAAAAACTTTCGTTTCCTGATTATTAAAATAATAACCCATTTCTGCAACGTTGAATTTTTAATTATACTATAAGGGAAAACGTTTCAAAACGTTTTCATAAACAGTAATGCATTTTTCAGTTATACAACGTTACACTTTTTATAAGTTGAACTTTGAAATAGAAATCCTTTCGTTACGATATTCAATCAAATCAAAATTCATTTTTCAAACGTTAGACGTTCAAGCTCCCTTTGGAAACAAAACATTTCTTTACGTTATGGTCAAAAAAGTTGTAGATACTAGAAAAATAACGTTACATTTCCACAAAACGCTAACGTTGGGGGTATATTCCTCTAACGTTAACGTTTAACGTTAACGTTAGGTATGAGCTCCTATAACGTTAACGTTTAACGTTCACGTTATTTAGAATGTATCCAAACGTAACACATTATTGTAACGTAACGTACAAAAACGTACATTTTACGTTACGTTACACTATCGTTGACATCTCTACTAGGTTGTGCTAGGTTGTGATAGGTTGTACTAGGTTGTGCTAGGTTGTTCTAGGTTGTGCTAGGCTGTGATTGGTTGTGCTAGGTTGTGCTATGTTCTACTAGGTTGTACTAGGTTATGCTTGGTTGTGCTAGGTTGTGCTAGGTTGTGCTAAGTTGTGATAGGTTGTGCTAGGTTGTGCTAGGTTGTACCAGGTTGTGCAAAGTTGTGCTAGGTTGTTCTAGGCTGTGCTAGGTTGTGCTTAGTTGTGCTACAGGTTATGCTTTTCTTTTGTGCAATATTTTCTTTTTTCTTAATTTTACATCGTTTTCAAAAATTTGATGATAATTAGATAAGCTCTGGTTTGGTCGATTTTATTAAATTTCTATTTTAAGATACAAAATTTTAATCTTTTATTTATTAATCATAAAATTATGTTTTAGGAAGCCTACAAATATACATTTTCACGACGGGAGGACTGGCAGGTCAAGCAGTTGATTTTTTTTGTGTGCATCCTTATTCCGGCATTGTGGGGGGGGGCTGGTCTAGTAGCTTCTCCTTCTAATTTTTAAACCCTATTAATATGTTGATTTTAAACATTTTAAACATTTTAAACATTTTAAACATTTTAAACATTTTAAACAACGTTGTTCAAAAATCGTCCAAGAGGAAATTACCAAATGTCCAAAAATCGTCCAAGAGGAAATTACCAAATGTTCAAAAATAGTTTTTTTTTTTTTTTACTTTTAATAAATAGTAACATGTGACACATGTCACTATATCCATTTTTCTGAAGTTGAAAAAGTGATGAAGTTTAAGCGTTTTAATGTAAGTCGTTTTAAAATTTCCCCCCCCCCCCCTATCGTGGTAGGGTTTAACAAAAAATGCCAATAACACTTTTAAAAGTTTAAAATTGGCAATTTATGATTGACTAATTCTTAAACTTCTTAACAAATGGCATTCACTAGTAATTTCTTGATAAGGATAGAAGAAAGATCCAATGAAATATAACATACAGGGTTCTAATAAGAACCGTATTTTAGTCAACAGACGAAATTCAATCTCATGATTTATAGGTCATCATTACAGTCTCATTCTTTGTGAGTAACCCTGTAAATTAACATGGCTTAATGTATTTCGATCTTTTTTTGCTACCTTTTTTAACATGATTTACTTTCAGGGCCCTGTAAACTACTTTAGGAATCTACCCTTGACCCAAACATCTTGCAAAGGCGTTGAAAAACAAGGTCTACTACTAAAATGACTGACGACGTCAATAAATAGTTTTCACCAACTCTACATAATCGAAGCAGTTGATAAATTAATCACGAAAAGATAATTTGTATGTGCAATTAATCAATTAGCCAGTTATTACCCTGAAGAACTAGTATATAAAAATATAAATTAATTTCTAATATTTGTTTTCCCTTCTTTAGTTGTTGATATTGACACCTTGTTCCTAGTTGGCAACCTAGATCCTAAAGTTAGTTTGGAAATGGTCTCACAATCCGCAGAATACGTTTCAAGGTATAAGGTTGGCAACCTAGATCCTAAAGTTAGTTTGGAAATGGTCTCACAATCCGCAGAATACGTTTCAAGGTATAAGGTTGGTAACCTTGATCCTAAAGTTTGTTTGGAAATGGTCTCACAATCCGCAGAATACGTTTCAAGGTATAAGGTTGGTGACCTTGATCCTAAAGTTTTCTGTACCTATCTATATAAGTTTTCAGTATCTAACTATTTAATTTTTCTGTATTTATCTGTATATGTTTTCTGTATCTATCTATCTATGTTTTCTGGGTCTATCTATCTAAGTTTTCTGTATCTATCTATTTAATTTTTCTGTATTTATCTGTATAGATTTTCTGTATCTATCTATCTATGTTTTCTGTGTCTATTTATCTAGGTTTTCTGTATCTATCTATTTAATTTTTCTGTATTTATCTGTATACGTTTTCTGTATCTATCTATCTATGTTTTCTGTGTATCTATCCATTTCTGTATATATCTCTCTGAGTTTTCTGTATCTATCTATCTAGGTTTGCTGTCAAGATTGTTAATATGGCTGGAAATGCCCCACATCAAGTAAGGATGCATTTTTTTCAATTTTTCAATTTAAAATTTTCTTCTTCATTTTGTAAACGATTACGGAGTACTTTTAAAGTTTTTTTTACTTTGCTAAAGAGACAGTAATTGTAATTCCAAGTTACCCTCCATAAAAAGAATATATCAGATTAATTACAGTACCCTGAAAACCTTTACCTAACACAAGATGAAGGCCTGCAAAATCAATTATTTTATGCTGTCTAAGAGAGACCAACTTATTCAATTTCAAAATTAAATCGACTTGTTGTAAATTCATGTGACATAAGAATTCAGAGAGACATCTACAGGGTGTCCCATGAAACATGACAGTCGCCATTGATCTTTAAAATAATTTGCATCATAGTCTTTTAGTCCTGGCATTTCCAAAATGTGGTCTACCTTTTTTGTGCTTTTCATATTACTGGAGATATGAAGAATTGCGTTGAAATTTCGTTTTATTAATAAAATTAAAATTTAAATAAGAACGAAAATCTTAATATCTCCGGTTATATTGACAGCACAAAAAAGGCAGACCACATTTTAAAAATGCCAGGACTAGGAGAATGTTGTATTTATTTTTTTAAGAATCATACATGTAAAATTGTAGGTTGACGACTGAATGTCACAAATAAGTTCAAAGTTCAGAACGACTTTCAAATTGTCTTGCTACTGTCATGTTTAATGGGACACCCTGTACTGTACTAAACCCATTCCCAATAAGTTTGATGAACAATGAGATATACTGATTTGTTCAGCTAAACGTGAAACCCTTCATATAAATGTACAATTAAGTTTTCAGTCGAAAACAAAGGATAAATGGAGGGTCCCTTAAAAAGGATAAATGGAGGGTCCCTTAAAAATTCAAGCTTAAAGTGTTCTTTAAAATATTTGAAAAATGGATAAAAACTATTCCGAATATTTATGATGCAGGAGCAACCTGATTCAGTAAACCAGATGATTGCACAGTTTGTCAAAGGTAGAACATTTTGAATTGATTACAAAATATTAATCCTTTGAGTTAGAGGTTATGGTAGTATATATACAGGAAAATAAAAGACAAAATCGTCTTAAACTCTCGATGATTTACAAATGTCATAAAAAAATGGTATTTTACCTGTTTTTAAAATGTGATTTACCTTGTTAGTGACATAAATTTGATGAAGATATTATATTTTTTGAAAAGAATGGTTTTAGAAATCTAAATTCGGACTTTAAAACATTTCCATCTATTTCTAATAATATTAAAATCCAGACCTCATTTTGTAAATCCCAAGACTTGTTCTTGAATAAAAAAATGCTGTATAGTCAAAGATTGTAAAATGTTTACTTGAATGCCCTGTAATTATTTTTTTTTGTAAAGAATGTAATTAAAAATTTACAAAGTTCTTCTTTCGTTTATTAATATGACAACGAACCTTCATTTTTTTCTTTTCCTATTAATCTTTACCACTTTTTCACCTTTTCAATTATTACTCTTAAATTGCATCGTTAGCCCCTGTACACGTCCCAACGTTCACAATTTTTCTAAATCGCCTGATTAATCCCAAATAAGGTTCGAAATGTGCGGACAGGAAGACTAAATCATGCTCAAATCAAACCAACATTAACCTTCGGAGTTTACAGAATTGGACTTGGAGCCTTACTAACCTGATCACAGGCAGGGACAGGGTTGGAAAGCTTGCAGGCAGCGTTTAAACATGTTTTCAAATGTCGTCTTCTTATCATTTCATTCTATTTTGGTGTGCGTTTAATCTAACATAATGTGAAAAGTGTTATTGCGTGACAGCTTGAGCTATCCAGCCCAAGTAGATTAGAGAATTTAAAGGTTTGTCCGGGGAAATGTATCACTATAGTTAAAGTACTTCATACTGGGATTCCCCATATACTTTTGAATATAACTTCATTCTATAGGTTCAGTTTAACATACATTCCATTAATCATTTTCCACTTAGACAAGGCGACCAGTTGACAAAGTTATTAGAATTCCTTAGTTTAAGATTCAAAACTTGAAATAAGAGTGAAACTGTTTCCTCAAAAATGTCCAATCCGTTTTGCGCCAGCCAGTATCAAATTGGAAAAAATATTTGTGCAAAAACATTATTAGGGAAGGTAGATTTTTCATCATTTTCTAAGCATGTTGATATGGTATGAGCAAAAGATGCGTCTTGATTGTTGAATCGATCTGAATAACGTCCAGTTGTTAAAATCAAGCTTTTTGATATTCTAACAAAAATCTTTCTATAAAACCGATCTTTTGCTTAATATTTGCTTAATATTCAAAGGGATTTTTACGATTTTAACATTTTTGATCTCAAGACAAATATTTTTACATATTTGTGTTTATTTATTTTGACAATTCCCCCCCCCCCCTCCTCAGTTGCACAATTGATTTAATCTACACAACTCCAAATGATTAAAAAAAATAATATATCTATATAAAAAAGTACCTTAAGAAAACGTTAAAACTGGTGCAAGATGGATTTGAGCATTTATATAAAAAAGTGTCCCATATGTTCCATCTCACTTAAAATCAATGTACACACGAAAAAAAATTAATTTTTTTTTTCAGGAGATATGAGCTACATGTCTAAATGGTCTTCTATGATCAAGCTTGTCAAATAATTAGGAAAAATTTGTTTATTTGTACACTGTACAGGGTTATGAACAAAAGGTTACGTAAAAGTCTTTTGATGGTTTACTATAGCTGATTTTGCAAAAAAAGAAAGAAAATACCATGAAACCATGTTTGCTTGAAATTGGCTTGTTTTAAGTCTCATCATTAACTCTTCTTTTCTTAAAAACTGAACATCCAGTTGTTGCAGCGCTAAAATGGGATTTTTTTAATGTTTAAAGGGACAGACCGGCTATGTTTAAAGAAAGTTAAACTGAATATGCAGTGTTGTGAACAAATTCTTAAGGATTCATGTAAAAATTTTTAAAGATACTGAAATTTAGCGCAAAGTCGACGTTCAAAATTGTACTTTTGGGTGGGTACGTTTTCAGAATTGTTTTTTTTTCATTTATTAAATAACGACGACAAAAAATGTAAACAAAATTCTACAGTAAACTAATTAGTTGTTTAGGAACAGGTTGATAAAGTTAAAATTAACTTTAAGTTTCTATAATCTCTCTTTACTCACAAAGATTTTCTGCAGATTTTCTGGAATTTTTATAAAAAAGACGGAATTCGAAGAATTTGAAGAAATCTGCGAACAAATTCATAAAAATAAAAAAATCAATATAATGATGAAACAGAAAATAATTTTTCCTAAAATTTATTGACAAATTTCTTTTAAGAAATATGTTCCTAAAAACCTTATCAGTTTACTATTGAATTTTTCATGTATTTTTCGTCATCTTATTTAATAATTTAAAAAAAACCGATTCTGAAAACGTATCCACCCAAAAAGATGATTTTGAACGTCGACTTAGTGCTTAAACTCAGTAATTATACATCGACATCGTAAGTTTTAAGTAAATTAAATGTGATAATGTACTGAGAAGAATTTAAAAATTATGTTGGCTTATCGAAATATATATTTAATCAGGTTCTCTAGTAATCATGTGTTTACAAATAAGTTGTGTATTTACAATATAATTCGTTTTAATTTCTGAAACTGCATGTCATACGTCACATTACAAACATAGCTATATATATCTTCTAGAATTATCTAATCTATCTATCTATCTACTCCTAACTTCTGTTTGATTTTGATCAGTCTGTCCGAACGTTAAGCTCTCCTCTGTCCAGTGAAACCGAGAGTGAAATCTTGGCGGGGTGGAAATATTTCACGCATTTTGTAGATTTCATAAATTGCAATTTAAACAAATCCAAAATAAACGTGGACAGTAACAAAAAGTTAAAACTAGAAAAATTTAAGTTTTTACCAAAACTTTTTTCACTCTCCACTTTTCAAGGACATTCTTATGAGAAAATAAGCCAGTAGTTGAATTCCTGGAGAGGGCTAATACTGGAGCAAAATTGGTCAAACTCGTTGTTTCTTTTCACGGATTATTTAGTCTCAGCTGATTTACCAAAATCAGCTTTCACTATTATGATAACGTTTGTAAAGAAACAAAAAAGTGAATCACAGTGAATTCGTACGAGAAATGGGGATTTTTTTCTGGATATAAAAAATTATATATTTTCAAGTCCAACAAAATTGAGAGGTTTTCTTAATAATTGATAAGTTGCAAGGTAACTGGAAATTATTGTCAATTGTACTTTGATCTAATTATATGTTGTTGAAAAAGAACAGATTAATGATGAGAATTGAAGCATGAAATGTAAAATTAGCATAAAAAGCGTTAAACTATTTGTTATTATAATTAAATGGAAAACATGCATCAAGTTCACGTCTGGCTGATTTGCTGAATATTAAAAATTGTTCATCAGTTGAATTTCTAACATTGAAACGTTAACAAATTGGTAGATACTTAAACAAAAATTAAATTGCCTAACACATTGCTGTCATAATCTTTAAACAATAATTACCTCATTTCGCAGTGTCAAGTGTGAAAAATGTAAAAGATTTTATGATGTGACAAAATGCAAGCAATTTATTTTCATGAGGAAAAATGAGCCATCAACTCTAATTGTAAACCTACGTTATTTATCTCATATTTATCTCTTTAGAAATTTATGCAATGTGTCTTTTTTTCTTGAACATTGGTTATTTATCGTAAAATAAAAATATTTTATATCATAAACCAAGAGGTATTTTAGTGAGGAAAGAGGGTTATTTACTTTCTACTTTGAGCTAGTTTTGGTGAACAAATAGAAAATAGTAAAACCAAAATAGATTTAAGGTCCACCTCCTATGCCCGGTAATACAAAGCATTGTTTACAATCTTTGATATTGTTTACACAAGACTAGTTCCTAATACGTCACAATAAAACATAAACAACAGGCCCCTTCCCTCTTTCTTTAGTACTTCTTACAATATATTTTTAAAATCTAAACTACATACACATATTGCAAAAATGGGTTAGCTAATGCTAAATAGATCCAATCTTGCCTAAATCGTAAAAACAAAGCGAAAGCGAAACATTACAAAGTATGTTAATCTACATTTTGCATAAGTTAATTTTAGAAAACTTGTTCGAAGGCCGAATTTAAAGAATTTGAGCCGCGGCTTAAATTTGAAACTCGACTCAAATATGATTGGTTCCATTTAAAAATGTATTCAATGTTTCAAGATTTAAGCTGACGCTTAATTGACACCGGTTTTTGGTTGATTTGAGACGCGGCTCAAATTCATTAAATTCGGAATCGAGTTACATAAAGTGTGCAGTGTGTAAATGCGCTTTTGATGGAGAAATTTCAGCAACTGGGCCTTCTTAATCTCTTTTATTTATTATATCTTCAACAAAACTATATATTTTAGGCCACGGAGATATTTAGTTTTATTATGATTTTTAATATAGTTTGTTTTTGTATGGATTTTGAAATAGTAAAATCTTAAAAAATAGAGTGATGTATATTTTTCAGAAATTCATTTATTATCAAATCATGGAATTTTTTGTCATAATCCTTAAATCTTTTAAAATATTTTAATTTTGAGTTACCTCTTATTAAATATCCGATTCACCCAATAAACTGCAGTCGTCTGAGTAAACCTGATAAATATACACATCTTTATACAAATTTAGCTTGGGTGTCTGTCTTTTTGTTTTATCCAATGAACGTCAAAACGGCTGAACCGAACGGGCCCAAATTTTGTGGGGGACCTTACTTGACCCCAGGGAAGGGTTATGAATGTTTAAAATTTTTAAAAATTGTGTTTAAAAGTTTTTTATTTTTGTAAAACTTTGAAAATGCACAAAAAAATATTATGAAATCCGCAAACTTTTTGTTTGTTTTTGTTTTATACTGTACAAAGAGAATATGCTAACCAGATAAAGCCACAATTAAAAGTTGAAATAGAAGATTGCCGCGAAGCGCCCTAAAAGCCTAGTATAGTATATAAACCACGTTTATGTACGTTTATGTACCTTTGTGTACGTTTATGTTTCCTAAATATGGAATACTAAAATATTTAATTCGACCCACGATTTAAAATGTGTTTCACAAGACCCCGTGATAAAAAATGTAATAAAGTAAATATTTGCCTTCCCGCATAGAACAAACGACCCTGTTTTAGAGTCTGAAAACGACCCGCACGACCCCAAAAACGGGCGCCGGCCCGACTCTGTTTTAGTACTAATAAGAGAGTCGTTTTTAGACCGAAAAGACCCTGAATCCGTCTCTCCTCAAAACGGATGGGTGTCGGTTTACTTCACGGCAGGGGGCCATTATCTCCCTCAAGATTTATTACTT